CTCCCCGCCTTAACGTCACGGGCCGGAAGTACGGAAGCCAGGGGCGGGCCACCGCGGGAAAAGTTTTGTGGTCTTGCTCGTCCACACCGCTCTTCCACCGGCTTCTGAATCGCTGTCCTCCTGGTGTCTTGCCTACTGTGCTGGCGCCAGTCTTCCCCCTTCCGGTCTCACTTCCGCGTGGCCGACAATGGAAGTCGCTGCGGCCCCGGCCGGGAGGGTAGAACTAGGCTTCGTGGAGAAGGCACCAGCGTGGCGGCTGCGCAGCGAGCAGTTCCCCAGCAAGGTGGGCGGGCGGCCAGCGTGGCTGGGCGCGAGCGGGCTGCCGGGACCCGGAGCCCTGTCGTGCGCACGTTGCGGCCGGCCGCTGGCCTTCCTGCTGCAGGTGTACGCGCCGCTGCCCGGCCGCGCCGACGCCTTCCACCGCGGCCTCTTCCTCTTCTGCTGCCGCGAGCCGCCGTGCTGCGCAGGCCTGCGAGGTGCTCGGCCGGGCCGGGAGGCGGGGACGTCCCTGGACTGGGGGTTGGGGAGTGGAGAGGGGCGGGGATCCGGGCTTCCTGTCTCGGCGCCTTCAGCTTTTTCATCTTTTTACAGTCTGACTAAACGGTTAATCCTATCATTCAGTTCATTGGCTGGAATCCACTCCAAACGCCAGTTCAGTGGCTAATGCGAGACAGGATCTAGTTTCTGGATTTTAAAGGCTCCTTATTTTTCATTTTCGTTCTTTTTTCCTCTTTATAAAATAAGCTCCCCGAAAGCAAAAAATTAAATTTCTCTCTTTAAAAAAAGAATACCTTTTCTTTCTACCAGGCAAGGCATAGAGGGAGGCTTAAATATATGAATCGTTTTGTTTTTCACTGAAAATGTTTATACCTTTCATAAATTTTTCTCCTCATCCTTAGTTTTCAGGAATCAGCTACCCAGGAAAAACGAGTTTTACTCATATGAGCCACCTTCTGAGAACCCTCCCTCAGAAGCAGGAGAATCTTTGTGTCTACGGCTTAAGTCTGGTGCTCATCTCTGCAGGGTTTGTGGCTGTTTAGGTCCTAAAACATGCTCCAGGTGCCACCAGGCACATTACTGCAGTAAGGAGCATCAGACACTAGACTGGAGGTTGGGACATAAGCAGACTTGTACACAACCAGGTAAGTCCTTTCTGTTGTGTCCTATGTCCCTCAGCCCCGTTCCATAGCCTCTGTCAACCCAGATATTTTATTTCCAGATAAATTTTAAAGTTGGAGTAAGAAAGGGCATAGTAGTTTTCAGAATTGATAACATGGACATCTTCATAAGAGTGGCAGTGAAGTTTTAATCACTCTGTGTGACCCGCTTTGCCTTAATACAACTATTTAACGTTTGACTCCTAATCTACCAGAACTATCAATGTTTACTAAAGAAAACTGTTGTCACATGGAATATAATACTTGTGCACTGTATCACTATAGTTGACAGATGGCATGAACAATAGTGAAGCAATAAGATTATAATGGCAATGAAGAATTATTCTTGCTTAGTGACTCTGTAGCCATTGTAATGGCACCACACTTGTTTACACCAATATCACCACAAATACAAAATGTAACACGTTTTGTTTTTGTTGATGGCTGGCATAACCAAACCTACAGTGCTGTCATCGAAGTACACCACATACAAATATGCACGGTATATAATACTTGGTAAGCGATTGTGACTAGTTTATTGTATTTACTGTGCTTTTTAAATTTAGAGTGTAATCCTTATTAAAATATTTACTATAAAGTGATACATCTTATTACACTGGCAGCAGCCTCATGTAATGTTTATTGTGTATCTGGAGTGATTGAACAGCACCATCTAGGTGTCATACAATGCATGGCTATGCTTTAGAAATAGGAAATTGTTAGAGGATCTTTAAAACTTAAATACAAATGATACTAGTAACTGTTTTGTTTTAGATCATTTGGACCATATAGTTCCAGATCACAACTTCCTTTTTCCAGAATTTGAAATTGTAATAGAAACAGAAGATGAAATTATGCCTGAAGTTATGGAAAAAGATGACTCTGAGATTACAGGAAGCATGGGTAAGGAGTTATTGTATTAGTTTTATGTCATTATGACCAAATACTTGAAAAACAACTTAAAGGTATAAAGATTTATTTTAGGTCCTGGTTTCAGAGGTTTTCAGTGCATGGTTAGCTTGCTTTATTGCTACAGCCCTGTGGTGAGGCATAACATGGTGGCAAGAGCATGTGGCATAGTGTACTTGCTTATCCTCGTGGTGTCCAGGAACCAAGAGACCCACACGGGTTGGGAACAAGGTATACTCTTCAAAGGCATGACCTACTTCTTCCAAACAGGCCCCACTTCCTAATAGCCTAATCAGCTATGAATTCATCAATGGGTTAGCCCATTCACTAAGGTAGCACTCTTGTGTTCCAGAAACTTTAGTAGCACAGCCAAAGCTGTGAAAGCCAAGCTTTCAACACGTGAGAATTTTGAGTACCCATTATAGCTAAATCACAACAGTTTCAGAACTTCTCTAAACAATTAAACAGGAGGCAAAATGCCAAGAAAGTGGTACAAAGAGGAACAAATTCTTACTTGGGAGTCTAACCTGTCATTGTCAGATGGTACCTCAGCTGAAAAATAACCTTCCTATACCTCCCATCCTGGTATATATCAGATATTTTCTGTTCCCTATAAAGATATTTTCTGTTCCCTATAAAGATAAGAGGTATCCAGATCGCCACTTGGGTGGGACAAGTTTTGGGTACAAAATGTGTTTCTCAGAGTGCCTGTACAGTATTTGACAAGCCACAAAGCCAAAGTTACTCTTTGATCTTGCCAACTTTATATACAAACTTACTATTTTGTTTAGAATTCTACTCTGCTGTCTCTATGCTGACCAAATACCTAGGAGACTGTTTATAATAGTAGCCAATACAAATGCTGATAAGTAATGGAACATTCACTGTGTCCTGAGGCTGCTTGTGTACCAGCTCATTGAAATCCCAATAGCCACCCGGTATGTTAGAGACTGCCTCATGTTGCAAGTGAGGAAATCAAGGTTCTGGGTGTAACATGCTTTTGTCACATAATTGAGGTTTTACAATTTGAGTTTGAGCCTAGAACTTGCTGACTCCAGAACTTGAGCTCTTAACTACCACAACATCAGATTTTATAGAAACTAAATTAGAATATCAACTTATTGGTTTATAGTTCATTTACCTTATATATTAGAAAACACATTTGAGCCGGGCACTGGTGGCTTATGTCTGTAATCCTAGCAGAGATAAGGAGGACTGCAGTTCAAAGCCAGCCTGCCTAGCAAATAATTCACGAGACCCTATCTCGAAAAAAACCTTTACAAAAAAGGGGCTGGTACGGTGGCTTAAGGTGTAAGCCCTCAGTTCAAACCCCAATACCGCAAAAAGAAAAAAGAAAACATGTTTGAGAGTTTGGTTTTATGCCCCATCTCATGCTTGGTAATGGGGACACAGCACAGAACAGTAGCACCCAGTTAAGGTGCTCAGTGTTCTGGGAGAAACCCACATAATGCTCAGGGAAATTAAATGCCATTTGGTGACTGGTAAAGAGTACAGGTCCTAGGGACTCTGCCTGGAGAGGACTATGCATGAGTCTCTATGCATGTACACTACTGATTATGTTTTTAGAAACGGTAGGTCACCAAAATGCTTCAAAACGGAGAGCATGGAGAATGTGATTGATGCGACTGTGGGGGGGGACCTTTAAAAGGCAGTCACAAATAATCAAAAGTACATGTAATTGTTGAATTAGTCATGTAACTGCTCAATTATTCTAAATGACTTGAGAACACAGTGATTTGATACCGCATCCCTAGAAGAATCTACCCCCAAGGATGAAAAGTACTGAAAGAGTGTTTCGATAAACATGTCACATCTATTATTTTGGGGTGATTGTGCATTAGAGATTAAAGCAGATGAGTCACTATGTTGGTATGTCAGGCAGGGGAGGATGATGTAAATGTGTATAAGATGTAGGTCTGAGTTTATACTGGAAGTATGAGTGTAAACTGATGTAGTTGATCCACTGAAAAGGCTTAGAAATAACTCATTCCTAGTGGGTATTCATGAGGTGTAAGTGCCATTTCTTTAAAATGAATTGTAATCTCTTTGGGGAATCGGTTGAATCCAGAACTGGCATGCTCAAATGATGTTGGAACATGATCATACTAGAGATCAAGGAAGCTATCAAAGTTAACTAGGGCAAGGTCCCAAAGGTCACACTGAAACTGCACTTGAGGGAGCGTCAGTCTGAGGTATTTAGGGCTCCTCAGTGGGTCCTGGCTATACAAGTGACTCTCATTACTTAAGGTCTTCCCAAGTTTATTAAAGTGGTGAAATTTATTCCAGCTTATAAGACTCCAGACATCAAAGTTATATTTTGGTTTATGTTACCAAGACTGAAGGTTATACTGGAAGCCACTGGTCTTTTGGGGGCAGCAGTGGTTCAGGGTGGCTGGGACTCCAAACATGAATTTGGTTCAGGAAATGGACATTGGGTGATAGAATGAGGAATACAATTTGGGAAAGGAGATATGTATGGTATAAGAAGAGTTGAAATAAAAGTCTACATATCTTAAAGAATAGAAGTGTAGATGTCCTATGGTGTGTTGCGCATAGTCCTGACTTGGGTCCATCTTTTAATTTGAAGCTTTAGAAAAAGCTGCTGTCTGCTTAAAACTGGGTCACCTGTGAACTGTAGATTATCGCTGTTTTCCGTAATTGTTACATTGCTTTTTCAGGTGAAGCACTTGAGGAAGAACTGGATTCTATGGCAAAGCATGAATCCAGGGAAGATCACATTTTTCAGAAGTTTAAAACTCAGATAGCCCTTGAACCAGAGCAGGTAAAATAGAATTTGCACTTCTCCATTTTGTTCTTTTCAGACATTTTTTTTTTAAAGATAGTCCCTAAGAAACAATACTTTCTAATAAAGCTAGTCTGTTCCTTTGAAGCCTCAAGAGTAGGCTTTTAAAAATATTGTCATAGTTCTTTTAAAAGATGGGCCACATAGAAAAATGTTTTTGCAGTTATGCTCCATTTTTTTAGTTGCTGAAAGACCAGTGGGTTATACTGTATAGTATTCACTTACTAAAGAAAGCATCCAGGATGGGAGATGAGTGAGATGTTGTGTAAGATACATAAGAGTGTAGGCACCACTGGCAGAATACACACAGAGCCAGTTTTCCCATAGATACCTTTGGCTTAGAAAGGTATGGCTACATTCCTGAAAATAAGTCACTGGACCAAGTAAGCATCCAGGTATTTATAGGAAGAACTGATTTATGTTCCAGACACAAAGATACCTTTTAGCAATGATGATGCTTTTAACAAAACATAGGAAAACTACTCTGTTGTTATAGGAAGCTGATTACAATGAATTTACCTTTTTGTAAGATTTATCCAACTTAACAGCATTTTGTATGCCTAATCTGGTCACGGGAAGTCAAAGGGACTCCCTTCTCAATGTTAAGATTCAACATCTTATGTAGGAAAAACATCATCTAGTAAATACACCGAAATGATGGCTTTGGAGATATTTACAAGAGTCAGGAGTTCTCTAGGCAGTAGGAGCACATGTGGAGTTTCTGTAAGTGATTGTCAGGTTGCTATTAGAAACTTCTGGTGAGGTGTTGATTTTAAATATGGTCCTCATTCATCAGATTCTCAGGTATGGAAGAGGCATTGAACCCATGTGGATTTCTGGTGAGAATATCCCTCAAGAAAAGGATATTCCAGATTGCCCCTGTGGTGCCAAGAGAATATTTGAATTCCAGGTATGGCCTTAGACTATTTTAATGTATAACCACCCAACTTGTGTTTCTGGACATTAGAAAACTACCAAAAAGGAGATGTACATGGCTCAGCATGGCAGTACAAGAAGGTGGCTGTAATGTTGAGAGCAGATAGGGCTCCCTGTCTTAAAGCAGCATTCTCACTTACCCTCTTTCTCAGGTCATGCCGCAACTGCTGAACCACCTAAAGGCAGACAGACTGGGCACGAGTGTTGACTGGGGCGTTCTGACCATCTTTACCTGTGCTGAGAGCTGTACCTTGGGCACTGGCTACACAGAGGAATTTGTGTGGAAGCAAGATGTAACAGATACACCTTAAAGATACCTTAAAGCCTTAAAAAATGTTGCTTATGCTAGGGGCATGGCTCAAATGCTGGAGTGACCTGAGTTCAAACCCCACTACCACCCAAAAACAAAAAGTTAACCTTGCAAGTCCATCTCTAGGACTTTATCCTAAACAAGTAACTACCAGAGATGGGAGAATAAAGGTGTTGCTTGAGACATTACTTACAATGTCTTAAGTATTACTAAAACAAAAATGTCCAATGATAGGGAATTAAGATAAATTTTGGTATATCCACAGTGGAAAGTGTTAATGCCTGTGTAACCACAAAATAAGAGGTCTAAATTAACACCAAGATACCATTATGGATCATGTATTCATGGTATGCTATTTTTGAAGAAATACTCATACATATGCATAGATATAAATCTGGAAATATATACAAAGTGTGAACTAGTTATCTATAAGTGAAATGGGCCTTATTTGTATATGCATTTTTCTCTAATAAAAATGGTTGTGTGCCTGATTAAAACCAACTCTGAGAGCATTTTTACCCCTAAATTTGCAAAGTTAAAGCAAAGAAGTATTTAAGTAGAAACTCAAAAGACTGCTGTCTGATGTAAGAACATGAGAAAAATACTCATCCTCATTAGGCCAGTGAGTAGGATGAACAGAAATACCCAGTAATGGAAGCATCAGTTATCAGAGTTGGCAGAAGCAGAAGAAACATATATAAAACAAAAAGAAACATATATAAAAACAAAAGCCTGAACACTGAGCTTGGGCAGCCAGTGGCGCTGCTTAGAAGACACTGAAAGGCAAGGCTGTAGTCTTCTCTGTCCATCTCAGCAAAGTGCACAAACTGCCTTCACAGGAGTGGTCGGAAATCAACAGCAGCCTGAGGGAAGAGGCATTTCAACCATGTTCAGGTTCCTTCCGGTCTCTAGCCCTTATCAACTGATAGTTCTCAACAACAGTGATGCCTGCCCAACACTAAAACAAACCTGAAAACTTGTTGATCAGGCTGAAGCACTGACTGCTAATTCTAACTCCTACCAAATCCTTAGTCCACAGTTGGCTCTTGTGCCCCCAGCTCATCCCTACTCACCCGGAGACTGCTACCACCAATGCTCACAGATGATCACGTGCTAATGACATTGACTACTTGGCTATTTCATTACACTGGCATATTGGAAAGTTCTTGCCCATTAGTCCATATCAAATGTATATATAAGATACATATACTACAATGTGGGAAACTGAATTCCCATGGAGAGAATGGCATTAGTTTTGAACCTGGGGTGGCTAAATCAGTAAGAACCACCTGAAATTAATTATGGCCTATGGTTATTGGAGGAGGTTGTCATCAACTAGTGGCAAAGAGTTAGTTACACGGCTGGCAGATTGGATCAAGTGGTAGAGTGCCTGCCCAAATGTGAGGCCCTGAGTTCAAACCCCAGTACCGCCAAAAAAAAAAAAAAGTCACAACACTTAGTTAGAAGCACAGTGGCTTATGACAAACTAGAATAATGGAGCCTTATATCCCCAAATTATTCCTTATACTCAAGATATATGTAAGCTAAGGACAAAGTAAATAGACTAGGGTCGTGATTTAGGAACACCACTAGGTGAAGTGAATGTTGCAAGGTCCAGCCAAGCAATCACTTAGGGGCATCCCAATCAACTATGCAGTGATTGTAAAAGTATTACCAAAGAGGGAGAAAGACTGCTCTGGGTAACCAGATAGAAACCAACACAGCAGCAACTTGACAATTGTGTTGAAAATTAATAACAAATTTAAAAAAATACATCAAGTAACTAGGTTCCCCCTAGTAATGTAAGGTGTATTTGAGAATGCCATAAAATGATGTATATGTATGCCACATGACCATGACCCTACAGGTGTCAGTCTGCCAATCCATGCACTACACTACAGCTTAGTTGGCACAGATACTGCCCCAGCACAGCAGATTTCCCCAGTGTAGAACTTTGCTTTCTTCTTTCAGATATTGATTGGAGTGCTGATATAATCACCCTGTGGCAATACAAAGATCATAACAAAAAATAAGTGTTTTTATCTTTTTGGTTTTTTTTTTTTTTGACAGTACTGAGATCTGAATTCATGGCTTACACCTTGAGCCACTTCACCAGCCATTTTGTGGTAGGCTTTTTTGAGATAGGTCTGGTGAACTATTTGTCTGGGTTGGCATCAAACCAAGATCCTCATTATCTACCTCCTGCTAGGATTACAGGCATGAGCCACCGGCACACGGCTATTTAGGTGTTTTTGACAGTCATACTTGGGACAGTATTTTGTCACTCTTAAGACTGTTACATGTGTAATATACCTAATGTAAGTGAGTAATTACAGGATATTATAATTCATCATCCCCAATGTCCTTAAGACTTTTGGATGTTGTTAAGTGGTAGAGTACTATCTCTGCAGACACAAGGCCAGCACCTTAGAAAGAAAAGGGAGGGAGGGAAGGAGGCAGGGAGAGAGACAAAAACCTAAGGATTCTTAGTGTAAATTAAAGGATATCTATAAATACAGCATTAGTTAAGTAAAAACACTTTACCCTTGAATTTGAATTGGACATCAGTATGAGCTTGTGATATATTTTACCTTAAAAAGAGAAAGCATACATTTATTTTCCTAAGGTGTATTACTTTTTGACAAAGTACTCTAGCTAATAAAATGAAAATTTTACCACTTTGCAACTCAGATCTAAGAATCAGCTTCTAATTTGTAGGACATACAAAGGACAAAAAAATATGCTGCACTACACCATGAGTTTGTTTGCAGCTAGCAAACTTAGACTACAAGAAGCTCTATGTGGCCTGTGAATGAGAAGGAAAAAAGATGGAGGGGGAACTTAAAGGTTAAAACATGTAAAAACAATTATTTTTATTTACTTACTTTTTTGCTGGTACTTGGGTTTGAACTCAGGGCCTTAATGCTTGCTAGGCAGGCACTCTACCAATTGAGCCACTCCACTAGCCCAAAACAGTTACTTTCAAATGGAAGACTAGTGTCTACGTATGGCTTCTGTGAGGTATGGAAACACAAGGAATGTCTCTGGACCTGGGGTTTACCTCTGAGTAGTACCTTAAATTGAGCATCGCTGCATGTGCTATATTTTATAGCTCTGAGAAAACATTTTAAAAGTTACCATTATCCTAGCACTTGGGAGGCTGACCTATCTCAAAAAAAAGTTATGTACATTAAAGTTCCAGCCACTGAGATAAGAAAAAGAAAGAGTGGAAAGAAAAAATAAAACTGTTTACAGATGATTACGGGCTAGAACTCAATAATGAGTTCAGTAAACAGACTGGGAATAAAAAATTTCACTAAAACAAACTATAATATATTAAAGAATTAACTTATGAAATGTAAAAGCCCCATATGAAAAATATTTTTAAAACTTAACTGAGGAGCATAGAGAAGACCTACTTAAATGGAGAAACAGTTTTTGGAGAAAAGTAGATAATACTAGAATGATGCCTTTCCAAGTAAGTCATAACATTACTGGCATCAGTAACTGAGAAATCCAAGAAAGGGTACCTTGCACACTGTTCTCTTTGGGCTGCAGCCTAGTATCAGTCTATCAAAACTTAGAACATATAAATAGTCTTTAACATGGCAGTTCCTTTTCTAAAAGGTTACTACAGAAATACCTGTATTTACCTAAGATACCCAAAGACACACATGACCATCACTAAGGGAATAGCTCAATAAATGAAGGCCCCCTACGGGAGTATCTTACATTCCATATACATTGAAAAAAAGGGACATAAAATTCAACAAAGTATTTTAGTATTTTTTTCCCAAAATGAGATCAAAAGCACCATCAAAGGACAGAATTGCACAGAATAAGACTTGAAAAACATTCATTAATATGAACATTAGCCTTGAAGCAGGCAGAAGGGAGAGGAAGAAAAGAGCTCTTTCTGAGTATAAATTTCTAAGCTATATAAAAATGTACTTTTGCAATTAAAAAGGAGAAAGAAAAAAAAAAAGCCCCACAAAAAAAAAGTTCTCACCAAAATGTTATACCGGAGTACTGTCAGCCTATGTATGGGCACCAGCTTCCACACCTGAAAGACTAGCTCGCAGGCTATTTTTGTCCTTTACTAGCTATGTAACCTCAGCCAAATCCCTGGCAGGATCTGAGCTCCTTCCCTCTAAAAGAGGACCAGACCTAACTGTGGCTTGGTGAGGATTCCAGACACTTTGTGGAAGTATGTGGGAAGCACGAGGTGCTCAATTTGAGAGGGTTCTAAGGTTGGATGTCCATTTTCACTGCAATGTACAATGCAATGTTGAGCAAACAAATGACAAGCAAACACCAAAATGGTTTCAGACATTATATCTAAAATACAATTTTTTAACAGTATGATCACATGACTCTTACAAGGTATCTTATAAGAACAATCTAACACTTTTATAAACTGCGTTTTGTTGTGTGCAGAGTACTCTGAAGAAAGAAAAATATGTACAGCCATTTGTTTTCATTAATACAGCTATTCTGTCCTGCAATACTGGAAAGGTGGAATGTGTCTGGCACAAAAATAACCCCAAAGAGTTACAAATTAGAAAAACAACACTTTTAAAAAAGATTATTACTTTTCTGGTAGAAATATAAAAACTGTAGTTTATGGGGAAAAAAATTAAACAAAATTAAAAGTCCAATTGTACACGTGTCTTGAACACTTGAGTTCTGTCTCTTCAGCCAACCAACTTGTCAACATCAGTGTTTAAAATATAAATAAGCGGGCAACGCTGCCCAAATAGCAGCACAGTACGAGCAACTCACAGTAATGCTGCAGGGTGATCTCAGTGCAGAAAAAGCAACTTCCCAGCATCCTACAGTGGGACACGGAAAGAAGAGTGTCGCCTGGTGCCTCAACCTGTAACTGAGCGTCCATCTTTTTCAACTGCACCATCAGAGGTACCAAAACTGATTTGTTTTCAAAAAACAAGTGGGTCGGGGAGGCAGGAATACAAGGCAGCCACTACGTAGTCTTCCTGAATCCTTTTAGGATGGGGTAGATGTTTTCAAATGCTTCGTAGATTTCTGCTCTGACTTTAGCACCTACAGAGACATCAGAGAAGAGATAATATGAAATGGCATTTGTTAATATAGTAAAGGAATGTCATTACCTTAAAGCTGCAAGCATAGTTCTCTTCATACCCAGGTAGAGCAACAACTCAGGCATTAAAATGCTAATGGTAAAGTACCTTCTCACAATCGCAGCTTGTCTGTTTTGGCAGTACTAGAGATTGAATTCAGGGCCAATTGCTTAGAGGAAAATACTCTACAACTTGAGCCATTAAAATGATGTTTTCTTAACATGATTTTTTAAGTTATAAAAGCAATGTGCCTAATGACTTCAGCCCCCCAGTCTACACAGCATCTCCTCACACTACCACACTCAGTACTGCATCAGGGGATAACTGAGCAGGTAGCGCCAATGCCATGGTCTTGTCCATAGCTGCTCCCTACACTCATTCCTGCAATAGGTCATAACCCTAGTGCAGCATCTAGGCCCTCTATCCACAGGTCCTCCCCTTACTGGTCTTATACGAGGTCAAAACCCAGCAGGCAGCACCCAGCGCCTAGGCTACATCTCCTCTCTACACCCTGTCCCATGCCAGATCATAACCCAGCAGGTAGCACCAAGGCTCCGTTGTCCATAGGTCCTCCCCACACGCAGTCCTACACCAGGTTATAACCCAGCAGGGAACATCCAGGTCCCAGTCCACAGCTTCTCTCCACTCTGTCCTGTATCACATCATAACCCAGCAGGCAACACTCAAGACTCCAGTCCATAGCTCTAACTCACTCCATACTGTGCCAGGTCATAACTAAGCATCACTGAGAAGGACTGACTCTTACTCTTCCAGTTGGTGCTTTCGGCTAAGCTCTTCTTAGTCTTCCTTTGTTGTCTGGTACTGTGATGAAACCCAAACTCCACAGAACTAATTCCATCTGAAAACACAACCTCTTACTGGTGTCCACGCCCCACACACCCACCCACTGTCACCATCAAGCATATCCCAGCTGAAGGCCACAGGCTGGGGCCAGTCTCCACGTCCCCTCCAGAGAGTCTGTTTCTCACCAGAGTTAGAGTATAAAGAGGAAAAAATGAAAAAGATGCCTTTACAAGTTGGTAGATAACTATCCCAACAATGAGTTTCTTTTCAGCACTGAGAAAATGTCATCCTTAAAAAACTCTCAAACTTTAAGATGCAACTTTCCCTGGTGACTTACCTGTTAATACAACTTTTCCAGAAACAAAAATAAGGAGAACAATTCTGGGTTTGATCATTCTGTAGATTAATCCGGGAAATAACTCGGGCTCATAGCTAGAAGGAAAATGGCAGAAACACTTTAGAAATCATGAGCTTCCTATGTTTCTAGATAAAATGAGGCCCTGTGCAAGGGAAGTACTGAATGAGCAAACCACTTTACCCACAGGTAAAGTGTACTGCTTCAGTAGCACCTAAGACCACTTCCACCAGGCAAGAACCATGTAAGCACCCTCCCAGCACCTGACCTTATTTCCATCAATGTGAATTGTCTGAGATAAAGAGAACTGTGTGTTTATGTTCTGTTCTCTAATCTTTATCCAGATTCACTCCTGAAAAGTTTAGGTGTATCAGCTTATAAAAGCCTTATCATTTATTCCTAAGACCCGATAGTGACAATCTGTCTTTTAATCATATCCCATAGCTGTCAGTTCTGGCCAGGTGATTTAACAATAGTGATATACCAGGTATGAGCCTGGGAATGAACTGATAATGCCATTAACTTATGATCACTAACTTAATGATCTCATGTTTTTAGTTCTGAGAGACTGACATCAGGATATCTTTCTTATGTGTTTGACCTGTAGGTAAGTTCAGGACAGGACTATCTGAGGAAGACTGATATGAGTGGATATCTGAAACTCAAGTGGGAGTTTCCCAAGTGAAAAGTGAGCCACGAGTGTGCCAGGTATAAAAGAGCCAGTGCAAACTCCTTGGGGCAAAAGGGGTATGGTGCATCTGAGGAACATGGTAAACTACTGTGGCTGCAAACAGAGCCAGAGATAGTAAGACAAGGTGGTGATGTGGGCTGTTGGGTGAGACTGCACCAGCAAGCGGCAGGGAAGAGCAGTGGAAGGAATGTTCCTGTTGCTTAGCTGTACATTTTGCTGGTAAATCTGATATGTTGACAAAAAGATTCAAATTATGACAAGAGTGATGCAAGGGGTTCATGCATTACTCATGCATTTAAAATGTTTTTATTGAACAATAACACACATAAAAGTTGAATACAATTCATTTCATTAAAGCTGAGTGGGTATCATTAATGACATGGGAAGTAGAAATCCAGTGAGGATGCTGTTAGGTTTTCCTTGTGGATAGCAAGAATTCCAACAACACAACTGCACTATATCCTAGGTTTATATATAATACACACTACAACCACACCTTGTCTGTACATGTGTCTTGCATGCGTAAATAAATTATACATGAACTGTTGCCTAAAGTATTCCCAGCACATTACAGACTTACCTACTGAACTGCTGGTGGGTGAGGACAAGGCCTTCCAACCTTATGGGAAACTTCACATCACAACTCCCCACCATATTCTGAATCTTGAAGTCTAAGAACTTAGCTGGAAAACCCAACTTCTGTACAACTCTGGCATATTTTCTTGCTGCTAGTCTGGACTGTTCTTCACTAGGGAAAGTAAAAAGTAAACTGTACTGAAGCCAGTTGAAATAATTTAGATGAATAATTTATTAAAAGTCCAAAATAAGAAACTAATTGCATCTGCAGATAAGCCAAAAGTTTCTGATGTTCCATTCACGGGAAAAATTATAAAAGCCTACTAAATAGTTATTGCCGCGTGCTAAAGCCAAGGAGCGGTGGAAGCCAAGGACAGCTCCACACGATGAAATGGCTTTACGAAGCTAGTGTTACTCATCTTTCCGCTTTTAGAAGTTTTCAACTTATACTAAGTATGTGGGCATTTGTTAAGCAGGATTTAAAAACATGGCTCCCAAGGATCAAACTTCAGAAAGCAACACTCCAAGCAGATGCAGGATCCAAGTAATAGCATCTTATAACAAGTGCATTCCTTAAGATCTACATAACTCAAACACAGCTAGAACTAGTTCCGATGAGGGGTAGCTGCTGTTGTGCCCACCGTGCATGATGCTGCCAACACTGCCAGAGCCAACAAGGTCAATGATGCCCTGAGCTTTGAAGTTCTGTGATTCTTGATCAACTGTTTTATGTATTGCATAAAAATTTTTTACATAAAGAAATTCTTAATAGTTTTGTTGTCATACTGTATCAAACACACATAAAATTCAACTGTATAGATTATATAGATGAGTAAGCCCTATTTATCCAAAACTGATGCTTGATTTTAAGAAAATTAGATACGTGTTATCTAAAGAGATTGGAATCAACCATTTTAACAATAGCATGTTGGAGTGCTAGCCTAATAATCTAGAAACCATGGGATATCACCTTTTCTTTCATAACAAATAGACCAAGGCTACCTCTTGGCTCCGGTGCACACCATTTTTCCTGAACTGAAAATCAGTGCCGTGGTCCGTGGCTCTCTTATTCTCATGATTACAGCAGCAAACCGCTAAAATGGTCAGAGAAACATTAGTGAGGTCATCCAAACTGTTGATCTTTTGTTTTTTAGGAGCACTAGAAAATGATAAAACATTACAACTAATGGGAAAAATCTACCAATATACTTCTCAAAATATTTGTCCGATATGGCTGTACAGGATTATTTTATGTCACATGAAACACGAAACGTGAATAAATCAACTTTGACAACTAGGTAAATTGTACCAAGATCTGTGTATGCTCTCCTGTGTGCATCCCGTAAGATGAGTAATGTTTGCAAAACTTTTGGTTCTTTATATTCCACTGGTCTTTTTTGTTTGTTTTTTTGGTGGTGCTGGGGGTTGAACTCAGGGCCTCATTCATGCTAGGAAAGCACTGTACCACTTGCCTACACCCCAAGCTTGTTTTTTTAATATTCTCAACAAATACCTGTACCTGTTTTCCTCTTATACTTGCTGCTTCTGTCAAGCATCTCTTAACTATAAATTTTTGGTTTTAGTAGCATTAATTATCTTCTTCCAGAGGGGATTCATAGATTGAAACATATCTATGAAACATATGAAACATATCAATATGTAATGAAGTGAGATCCTGTTTCTTTCTTTGCAAAGAATATTAATGCATTGAACACTTATGTAAATACAAAGTAACTTTTTATGCTCTTGGAGAAGTTTTTTCTACCTACAATTGTAACTCAAGGAGAAATTAAAGTATGGATTGAATTATGACCTTGGTTACTAGGTTACCTAAAACATGATAAAAACCTACTTTCCAATAACTTAAAATTTTAACATATGCTACTAAATTACACAAAGAAAAAAACCCGTAATATTTTTAATCAAGAGGACACTGACAAATTAAGACTACTTCAAACTTTCATATATATTTAATTACACAAGAAAAAAATTCATAAAATTTCTAATGAAGACGAATCTTTGACACATTGGATTATTTTGACAATTTTAAAGACTGCTCTCTGTATTACCCCAATCTTACCACCTTTAAAAATGCTACCAAGTATGTTCTAGTTTCCACAGATTCCAAAAAAACCTAATCACTATGATTTTCCTAAATCTGTTACTATTTTTATTGGTTATATAATAATTAGAACTTCATTAAAGTTTATAAAATTGTAGAATTATGCATTCAACTAAATATGACTATTATAGACCAAAGACTTATCTTGCAATGCTCCACAGACACAGGAAAACTAAAAAGGCTGATATGGCTCCCATCCCTTAGCCACCTCTAAGTTCTTGGAAAAATAATAAAACAACTCTGAATATCTAGATAATTTCTTAAGATAGAGCCAGGTGTGGCAGTACATGCCTGTAATCCCAGCACTAAAAGGCTGAGGCAAGAGACTGAGTTCAAGGACAGCCTGGGCTACATAGTAAGACCTTGTCTCAAAAAAATAAATCTAAAAAAATTCTAAAAGGGCATATAATGTGAACTGACAGATGGATAGCTAGACCTTTCTTGGTTATATTTGCCTTCTACTGTTCCTTGTGTCTACTGGAGACAAAAGGCAGTAACTAATACAAATGGTTGACCCTATGTATAAGGTAGAATAGTCAAGAAATATGTTTGCCTCCTTCTTAAGGAAATGCTTAGCTTATAACATTATAAATTAAACATGATATACACAGTCTTATATATGTTGATATATTTTAAAATCAAAGGCAAAAAATTTAAATGATTAAAAAATTCAATAGTTCTGAGGGCTGAAGTGTGGCTGAAGTGGTAGAGTACTTGCCTAGCAAGTCAAGGCCCTGAGTTCAAACCCTAGTACCACCAAAAAAAATACTGACTAAAAAAAATTCAAGTTCTGATATAGCCTTTTTTCTTTAATCACACTCTATAATTCAAAATAATAAAACTGTCAGCTCTATTTTACATCTAAACATTTTCTTATTTTCTATTAATTTATTTATTTTGTCTCACTATGTAGTCCCAGCTGGCCTCAAACTCATAATTCTTCTGCCTCTCTCCCAAGTGCTGAGATTACAGGTGCACACCACCACACCAAGCATATATTTCACATTTTAATTAACTCAGCCAAGTCAACTAAAATGTCCTCAAGTCTAAATGAACCATTTTGTTACTTATCTAGTTAATAGAGCAACCCCATCATTTCTACCTGTACTCAATCTTTCTCACTTGCCTAAGAGACAAGCAAACAAGCTTGAGGATTTAGGTGTGTACCTTAAGTACATCACTAAACATTTCTCTCACCCACAGCTGTCTTCTCTCTTATCAACTTTATCTACTCTAGCTGGCAAACACCGTCCTTACATATACATAAAACTGGTTTTTTGGCAGTACTGGGGTTTGAACTGAGGACTTTCAGGCTCTCTACCTCTTGAGCCATGTCAGCGTTTTTGCTCTCGTTATTTTGGAGACAGGGTCTCACTTTTTGCCTAGGCCAGCCTGGACCTCAATCCTCCTATTTTAGGCTTCTCACACTGCTGAGGTGACAGGCATGTACAACCACACCCAGCTTTTTTACAGTGAGATGAGTTTTCACAAACTTTTTGCCTGGGCTGACCTCGATCTGTGATCCTCCCAACAGCTAGGATTACAGGTGTGAGCCACTGGTGCCTGGCTATAAAATGCTTTTGTCTGCTTCCTGTATACAAATGGTGGCCAACTTAGGCCTGACGTGAAATTTTCAGATTTATTTAGTGAGAAAGCCATACACATTTAGTATAAACCATAGTTCAAACTTTCAATTTTGTTCTTCTTCCAAGATAGCAATGTGTGGTAGAATACTCTCAAAATGCTGGGCAGTAAGTCACAGCTCCCAATCAGGGGCTCGATCATGAGGGGACCAACTAGCACTCTACAGCATGCTATGTAGCTATATTATGATGCTAAGCTAATCTTGGACACATGAGATTGCATTCATAATTTGTCAAGTAGTTTAGGTGTAGTAACTGCATTCTCCAATTAATGATATGTAACCCCTTAAAGAGCATCTATAAATTGTGAAACTGCTACTCCAATCTAAATTCAGCATCCATCTACTTTATTTCCCTCCCCTCAAAAATTGGAAGGCTGTGGACGTGGCTCAAGTGGTTGACCACTTGCCTAGCAAGCACAAAGCTGAGTTCAATCCCCAGTACCATAAAATGAACAACCAAAAAGAAAAAAAAAAAGAAAAAGAAAAACAAAACAAAAAAACCCTCAAATATCAAAATAAACCTAAACTTTTCTCATTCTGACTAATGTTTTGCTTTGGAGGACTGAGGAACCCACTCAGGCAAAGTGACTTCCCAGCAATTATAAAAACACAGCTCTTGGTCTTGCCGCTTCTAACATCACAAAGACAACTCATCTACTTTTTTTCCAGGTTTGGAAGGGAGGGCACAAACCTAGTCATCACCCTTTCTCTTTTTTTATTTAAATATCTCAAAATGGATTGATCTTACCCAAAACCATCTTCAAATTTGACTTACACATGTGTGGAAAAACACATAAGTAGCACTCCCAATCAGAAAAACTGACAGATACATACACTAATTCAGACATCACAGACAGGCTGGTAGGAAGCAAGGCTGAGCAACATACTTGAGACTACTTTATCTTATGGAAAAACCAATGCAGGGCAGGGCTACAGAGTCCCACTCAGATTTCACTCCATATCCAAACTACAGAATTTAGACAGACTTAATAGTTTATAAACAATTTAGTTAAGCTTTCCTTTTTCAAAATGCCAATGCTCAAACAATCCAAGGACTGGGATGTACTTCAGTGGTAGAATTCTGGCCTAGCATGCATGAGTTCAATCCCCAGCACCAAAAAAGAAAAACAATCCAAGTTTCCCAAAAGAGCTTTATTTTCCTTGTCCTAAAGTTTTACTCCTAGTCCTAATGATAAGGTGATATGGACCTCAAAATCACCATGAATTATCCCAGTATGAGAATTGGCCTTGCTCCCCTTGACAGTCTCAACCTGTTACAGCCTCCCCTTATCAGAGATGTCGAGTAACATCCTGCATGGGGTCACAGGGTCAATAGGTATAAGCTACACTTCTGAGGAAAGCATCACTGCACACACCTATATATGATATAGGCAGTACAACAGAGGAGACCTCAATGGAGAAAAGCCTCAAAGATGCCTAGAATAAATTTCATTAGACATTCTTAACCAAAATGCAATTGTTAGGCATCAGGACATAGGTATATAGATGCCTTGCCCAGGTTACTTCTCCATTCTCCTTTGGAATCAACCTCTGTTTCACCAAAAGGCCTCTAGAAGGCAATGATGCCTGGAAATACAGCTTCCTCACAGCACCTCTGAATCCAGATCTAGGATCCATGATGACTCCAATCTCAAAATCAATCTCACTCTCTCTCTCTCTCTCTAGACAGAATCTCCCAACATAGCCCAGACTGACCTCAAACTCCATATCCTCCTGTCTCAGCCTCCTGAGTGCTGGGATTATAAGCATGTACCACCATGCTCAGCTCTCAATATTTCCCCTTACTATTAACCCTAATAATATTCCCCCAACATATTATTATTATATTAACAGCAAAATATTTTGCTGTTTGTTTCATCATTAAATTTGTTAAGCATTCAAAACAAAACCCTTGAAATGAGCTAGGCGTATAGGCCTGTAATCCCAGCACTCAGGAGGCTGAGGCAGGAGAACTGTGAATTTCAGGTAAGCCTAGACTATATAACGACATCCTATCTCAAAAACAAAACAAAACAGAAGATCTTGAAGTGGTAACTTATTGAAAAAGATACAAGAATATGGACTTCAATGGTTTATACAAAAATTTCTACCCTAGCTAGGAGTTCCTTAACTAAAATGTGAGAACAATACTATGGCTCAAAAGGTAAATGAGGGTCTGGGGTGTAAAGAGAGCTAGCATGGTATGAGCAAGGCATGGGTTCGATCCCTAGCACTGCAAGATTAAAAAAAAAAAGGCAAGTGAAACAATTCGAGCTTGAGAAGCAGAACAAATTATCACAAATTCAATGGCTAAGAGTCCAGATGAGAAAACTGCTCACAGCTACTCACAGCCCAGCCCAGTAAGAAGCTGCAAAATAGTTAATTCATTCTTTAACATCTGGGTAGCTGGGCACAGGTGGCTCACCCCTATAATCCTACCTACTCAGGAAGCAGAGATTAGGAGCATCACCATTCAAAGGCAGCCCCAGGCAAATAGTTTGTGAGACCCTATCTTGAAAATACCCAACACAAAATGGGCTGCAAAGTGGCTCAAGTGTACCTGCCTAGTAAGCATGAGGCCCTGAGTTCAAGCCCAGTAAAATAAAAAAAAAAAAACCACAAGAAAAAAGATCTAAGTAAATATTTCAGAGACAAAAAGAAGTAAAACAATTGAGGAAAAAGAAAAAAAAAAAAACTTAAGTTAGCAAATGACCAATCTGATCTTGGTAGTTATCTATCCGGTTAGCCTAAGCCAACTAAAAAGACTGGACATGAAGTAGGTTACACACATTTCCTATATTTAAGATTATTCTCGTTCTTTTCCCCCTTCTCCCCTGTCTAATATGCAGATGCTCAAATGTTCCTACATGGCCACTGTTTTCAAGATGAGAATTAAAAGCCATTAACATACAATAAGCTATCTCAAAATCAGAAACTTTAGGGATTTTCTCCCCTCTAATCTTTATTAGAAAAAACTTAAAAGTTATACAAAGGTAGAAAACCATAATAAACCTTCTTGCAGTTACCACCCAACTTTAACTATTAGTATTAGCCAATCTTATTTTATCCATATGCTCTCTCTCCAACTCCCACAGGACTACTGAAGTAAATACCATACCACACCACCCTGTATTGTTTAAAATATAAACTGGGTCATATTCTCTTCCCCAGTTTCATATGGTCACCATTACAATGGAAGTGTACATAAACTTATTTTACCCTGCAGATTGCTATATCTAGATAGACTAGTACATGGTATATATTTAATAAAAATTGAATGAACTTGTTCTAGTCACTTATCATCTAAGATAAAAATGATACTTATTTTTCTGGTGTCAAAAAACTTAAGCACAGCCCAAGTTTTCAGACCTAGGGACAACTAGAGAGAAAATTCCAGTTTTACTGCATAATTTGAAATACATGAAAATGGCTCTAACCTTGGGGTTATATTCAGCATTTCGGGCACGAAGTGCAATGGTCTTTAGGTCAAGTTTACAACCAAGATTCACTGTGGACACAATATTTCTGTAAGAAATTTGAAAAGAAAACATGATCACTTTAATTATTTAACTTTTACAAAATGAGATGTTAAATGATGGTCTAGGAATCTGATTTTCACCAGGCATTAAAAACCTGCAGACATTAAGGGTTTAACAAGTATTACACACTACATTGACCATCTCACAGACTGCCTCACTTAGCACTCACAGTGCACCATAAGGTGATAACTACTAACACTCGCATATTCAAAGAAGCTGAGGCTTCCAGAGTGCACTGTGCTCAGGATGCATGTGACTTCCAAGTAGAAGAGGCAGGACTTGGGTCTCTCTCCACAACCATGCCCTGACCTTACTTAACCAACTCGGTTCTCTACCCTGAGCTCTGAAATACCACCAATATCAGTCCATTAAGTTACTATTTACCATGGACATACAGAGCTTTCACAGTCCTCTCAAAATAAGTTAACTTTTAGGAAAATGAGAATTCAGTTTCTGACAAAAAAAAAAAAAGACCTGATTTCTGTTCTGATTAGCCTGAGGATAAATAAAATCACCATTAGCAATCTTGGTCCAGAAGTCCCTTTCATTATGCAGTATTCTTCAATCATTTCATGTATAAATTATGAAAGAATAAAGATAAAATGAAGAACTTTATTAGAATAATAAGCACCGAAACAGCAAATTCAATTTCTTATTCTACACTTTTCTGGCTTTAAAAGTGTATAGACTTGAAATGGACAACATCCCTTGAATGCAATTAACTGACCATCAACTGTCACACAGGGACCTGGGAACATCACCATTCTGAGAATTCTGGTTCCACATGAGTATACACAGATGATAGGTTATACCTCATTATTGCTAATGGTTCTTTTTTCTTGTACTATCTGAATTTTTTTTTTTTGCTGTACTGGGGTTTGAACTTGGCCTAAATTTTGAGCCACTCCACCAGCCCTTTCTTGTATGGGTTTCTTTAAGTTAGGGTCTCATGAACAGTTTGCCTGGGCTGGCTTCAAACTGCAGTCCTCCTGATCTCTAACTCCTGAGTAGCTAAGTTTACAGGTGTGAGCCACCGGTGCCCAGCCAGAAAATAATACTTCTAAAATATGGCTCAAAGTCGTGTTGAGGACAGTGGTTTTTGATACACAATCATGATGGCAGGTTGAATGTTTTTACTTCTCCATCATCTATTCCATCCTGTCATCTGCTATCATCATTTGTCTACCAAGTAAATTTTGGTGCATCTGTCACAGTTGAGTCACATAATTGGTAAACACATTCTCAGATATTTTCATTAAAGTCACCTTAATTCTTCATAAACCTACAACATTTAGAGACCACTGAACTTCTACCCAGTAGGGCTCTTGGTAAACAGTAGAAACTCAGTAATGTGACTGAATGAATGGCATTAGGAATATGAGAAACAAATACACACCCCAAACTGGTTCTGATCTATGACTTTAACCAAAAGTGCAAACTTGAATGCCTGTGGGAGTCAAAAGAGCTCACAAGACAAGTGGGAGCAGTTGACCCCTCTATAATTATTAAAATTCTTGTTTTTAAAATTGTGTAGGATCAAAGAAAATGGTGGAGACAAGATTTAGGGTTTAGTGTAATAGTTGAGATCCTTGATTATATACCACTTAGTTCCAAAAATAACTGATAGCTTATAAATGACAACTATATACTTAACAGCAAGAACAAATTGGAAACATACGGGGGATAACTGTGTAACAAAAGCAAGTAATATTGTAACCACAAAGAGCCCTTTAATTTGGCCATAAGCTCCCTAGAAGTAAAAGCTATATACTTTTCATTAACTGAAAATTTTTCAGTTTTTCCATAAGAAGAAAAATTTTTCCTGCCCCTCCTACTGTGCTATATATAGGACTCACTTCATTTAGGCAGAAAAACACTCTTATGACAAGAACAACCATCCTCACCTTCAGATCTTCAAAGATCTGCAAGCAGACTTCACAGAACTATGAAGCAAAACCTGGACTACTATGACCTGTGCCGACAGTGACTGACTCTGTAATAGACACATCTGTGACTCAGAGAATCAGCTGCAGAGAAATATCTACACTAATAATGAAACCCAGTTTTCATTTTCGTGGCCCAAGTATATAAACACAAGTGACTCCACTTCTGAAAACATTACATGAGCCTTTTGCTGAGGGCACTGACTCACTGAACAGCTCCAATTCCCTTTACAAAGGATAAAGCCACCTATGGCACGGGACTACTGCTGTGCCAGTCCTTCAAGTAAACCGACTTCTTAGAGCAAAGAACACAACACGGCTCGAAGGCCTCTTCTGGATCAGGGGACAGGGGACAGGGAACACACATGCCAAGTACTCACTGCAGCTGCGGTACGATGCCAGAGCTCTCAGAGGCTGGTGTAGCAGGAGTGATAGGGGTCATGGGGGTCATGGGGGAAGGGTACAGGGGGGTGGTGCCTGGCAAGGGTGCAGTAGTCAGAGTCTGAGAATGGAAGAGCTGTGGGGTCTGGCCTGAGGCCCCCTGTGTTGCCTGCTGAGATGTTGACTGCTGTACTGCAGCTGCTGCAGTTGCCACTGCTGGCTGCTGCTGCTGTTGCTGCTGCTGCTGCTGTTGCTGTTGCTGCTGCTGCTGCTGCTGCTGCTGCTGCTGTCTTTGTTGCTCTTCTAAAATAGACAGACTATTGGTGTTCTGAATAGGCTGTGGTGTCAGTCCTGTGCCATAAGGCATCATTGGACTAAAGATGGGGATTCCAGGAGTCATGGCACCCTGTAGAAAGCAAGGGAACAATGAGTTGGGCCACTGGTGTTTAGTGTTTGTCAGCCTTGCCTGGTGGAACCATAGGTGAGATGTGTAAAGACAGATGCTTTCTGAGTATAATTAATGGATCATTAAACATTATTAGGGAAGAAGTTGACCCATGTTGCTGTTTAGAATATTACCACAGTACTTGAGGAGTACCTTATCCACTAAGCATCTGTCCAAGTATGGATGATTAATTACATTGTCATTTAGAGATACCTAAGTGTTCTACATGATAGGCACGTAGAAGTGCTAATCAGTCACAACGATTATTAGCATATTACTCAAAATAGTTGATCACTTGCTCTCCCAAAAGTATAAATCAGGGCTGGTAGAGTGGCTCAGGTGGTAGTGCGTCTTAAGATCATGTGCAATGTTCTATGTGTACCTTCTGTGGAAGAGGTCCATAGTTTTCATTAGATTCTCAAATACACATAAGACCAAAAAGAGAACAATGTATCTTTCTCACTTCAACTTTTTTTTTTGGCAGAAAGCACAAAAAAAATATGTCTAAGATATTATAAAAAGAGGGCAAAGTCTATACTGTAGTCCTAACACTCCAGGTATTATTCTACTGCAATCATCACTTATTTATATGAAAATACTGGCTAGAAAAAATTCAGGATACAACACTTTTAAGTATTGAGAGGGCTGGTATCGGTGGCTCATGCCTATAAAACTAGCTACTAGGAAGGCTGAGATGGAAGGATCACAGTTTGAAGCCAACCTGGACTACCAGTTCTTGAGACCCCTCCCCCAATCTCCATAATAACCAGAGCAAAAATGAACTGGAAGTGTGGCTCAAGCAGTAGAGCACCTGCATAGCAAGTGTGAGGCCCTGAGTTCAAACCCCAGTACAAAAAAAAAAATCTGCCTTGCCTTGTTTCTTTTCTGGAGAGAGAGAGAGAGTGTGTGTGTGTCTGGAGAGAGAGAGAGAGAGAGAGAGAGAGAGAGAGAGAGAGAGAGTGTGTGTGTGTGTGTGTGTGTGTATGTGTGTTTAGAGACAGGATCACCTCAAACTCCTGATCCTCCTAACAGACTCTGGAGTGCTAGGATTACAGGCTTCCAAAAAACTCCCAAGTAAAACAGTATTGTGCCTATCCAAAGCCTAACACAACTTTTCGCAAAATAAGCCTGAAAAAATACAAATCTATTTTCAGTAACATAGTTAAATGCCCCTCCATCCTTTGTGCTGCTTTTTACAATGCACATGTTCACCTTCCCTCCTACTCTATTACCTGGGGGGAAGCCAAGCCCTGAGCGTAAGGAGGCAGGCTGTTGTTCTGATCCATGGTGCTCACTTTCTTCAACACTTAAATCTTTTCCTAGAGCATCCCCAGCACGCTGTCCTCAGCAATGTCCTCAGTTCTCTGGGTTATCTTCGCACACCAAGAAACAGTGATGCTGCCTGGAAGGAAGATAGAACTTTAATATAAGGACACAGGTAACTGGTACACCCATATAAACACACTTTTGTGCTTACACAAAATACAAGAAAATCAATGAAGCACCCAGGTACGGTGGTTCATGCCCGTAGTCCCAGTTCCAGGAAGGTGGAAGCTGGAGGATGGCTAGTTAGAGGCCAGCCTCGGCAAAGCTAGTGAGACACTAATGTCAAAAACAAATATGAAAGGTTTGGGGGTTGTGACTCAGGTTGCCTATCATGTTCAAGGCTCTAGGCTTAATCCCCAGTACCAAAAGAAAAGGAAAAAAAAAAAAAAGGATACCAACAGTAATTTTGGAATACAATTTTTCTTTTGCCTTATAATCCTAAAGTCTATTTCTTCCATGTTTTCTGTGATTGCATGCAAAAGTATCAACAATACAAAAATTGTGTTGTTAACATATTTAATTTAAATACTCTAACACTGCTCGAAATTAAGGTGTTGAAAACAGGCCAGAATGGGCAAAAAGTTAGAGAGACTCCATCTTAAATAAGCTGGGAAAGGAATAGTGCACACCCACAATACCACCTAGGAGAGGCATAGGAAGGAGAATCACAACATGAGGCTGACCTGGTGGAAAAAAGCATGAGATCCTATCTGAAAAATAACCTAATACTTAAAAAGGGCTGGAGCTATGGCTCAAGAGATAGCCAATTCCATTGCAAGCTCAAGGCCCTAACGTCAAACTACAGTATGGCCCCAAAACAAAAAACTTTAGGGGAAGCCAGGCATGATGGCACATGCCTTAATCCCTATACTCGAGGCTGAGACAGGAGGATTGTAAATTCAAGGTCAGCCTGGGCTACATAGCAAGACTTCGTCTAAAAAAAGCAAACAAAGAAAAACTAACCAAGAAAAAAAAACACCAAGAGAAAACTAATTCCTAACTGTTCTATCAAAGCAGAACACACACATATATATATATATATGTATATATATATATATATGTACATATATATATATATATACATAGAGAGAGAGAGAGAGAGAGAGAGAGAGAGAGAGAGAGAGAGCGCGCGCGCAAGAGAGTGCACAAGCACTGTTAGGCCAAGTTCAGGTTTTTAAAAATTCCACTCAATTTTATACCCTTCACAATGTCTTGGGCATAAAGTTCAATAAATATTGAATTGGACTCAATATGCTTTAGCGTGATCATTTATTGAGCTCCAACTTTAATGAAAGTCTGTAGAAGCTGTATAAATACAACATTGTTTTATGAATGTAATAATTTTACCTCTTTGGAAAACTTTAATGCAAACTGCCTGTATCTAGTTTGTCTTTTTTTTTCCTCCTTTTTGGTTTTTTTTTTTTTTTTTTTTTGAGACAGGGTGCTGGCCTTAAACTCTTGATGCCTCCCACACAGCTTGGCTTTTCTTAAAACCTCACATCTTTATTGGTTATTCATCTGAAATTACCTTCTAACAAAAGAACCAAGTTGACTAAAAAAACCTTTTTTCTTTCTCTTTTTTTTTTTTTTTTTTTATAGTAGCAGGGACTCTACCCAAGGCCTCACATAAGGTGTTCCACCACTAAGCTACGTTCTCAGTGCTTAAGAGAACTTATTTTTATCCATTCAGTTCAGATGGATTAATAACTTGTTCAGGGCATGATTCACATGTCATACATCCATTTAACCTAGGTCCCCCAAACCTCTCAGCCCGTAGGAAAGTATTTTCCTATTCTTTTTGTCTCAGTATTTTCCTATTCTGCACGATACATAAAAATAAAATCATACAATATGTGAAAAAAAATAATAACTTGTTCAGGGATGCTATAAGAACTGAATACAAAGGACTGAATGAGTTAACACATCAAAATGTGTTTACTTAGTATGGTAAGTATAGATAAGTATTAGCTATTATTACTAGATTTCAACTTAAGCATTTATTATCACCTAATAAAATATTCTCACATAGAACTCATGGGGCTCAAAGTTACAAATTTTATGTCTAAAGACCAATATGCACCTCAAGTATATGATACAGAGTAGGCACTCCGATATTTGATGTTATCAATGAAAGACTCTTACAACCACTTTGAGAGGACAAAGGACCCCAAAGACTATCCTACAAATTTATCATTGGAGGGAGAGAGGAAGGGAGGGAGGAAAGAATGAGAAAGATCTGCTTCTGAAATAAATACACCAGAGATATAAGAAAATTACACTTTTTTTGACACTGTTACCTTATAACAACAAGAGCTGCAGATATAAAGATGAAGAGGGTATAGTTCTTGGTATCAGTTTAACATGAAGAACATGCAAATAACTACTGTAAAACCTTTGTAAGCACTATAATGGCAGGTATGCACTAGGCAAGCTAAGATCCATGAAAGCAGACACCAGCATACTTATTTTCAAAATCTCTGCATCTGACAACACGCCTGGCATGTAGTATGTGATTGTGAATGAATGCACATACCCTGTGGAAAAGAAGACAATACAAACTGAAGTCAAGGACTCTGAAGAGGGCAGTGTTTTCATAAAGCAGGGATGGGTTTAGCAAGGTAAATAGAAATTTACAAATAAGCACATCAGGCAAAAGAGAAATGAAGCACAAAAGAGAAATGAAAGCATACAGTATATAAACAACAAGCTTAGTATGACTATATGGAAAGTCACTCAGGAAATGAGACAACAGATATAGGTGGTCATGTCATCAGGAGTATGAGATGTTACACAGGCAATAAGAGTAAAGGATTTTGAAGTGTAACATGAATACATCTCCTTTGGCAAGAGGGAGTAAACTTCGGAGGAGAAAGCTGGAGGCTGAAAGTGTAAGGATTCACTGGTTTTTCTTTTTTTTTTTTTTTTTTTAATTAATTAATTTATTTATGTGGTGCTGGGGTTTGAACCCAGGGCTTCACGCTTGCTAGGCGGGCACTCTACACTTGAGCCACTCCACCAGCCCAACACTGGTTTTTCTTAAAACGTCTTGTTTTCCGCCACGTACTTGGGTCCAGGCAGAGAATCCGGCCCTGTGCAGGGACGCTTTTCACTCTACGCACTACATCTGAAATTATTTTCTTTTTTTTCCTTTTCTTTTATTATTCATATGTGCATAACAAGGCTTGGTTCATTTCTCCCCCCTGCCCCCACCCCCTCCCTTACCACCCACTCCGCCCCCTCCCTCTCCCCCCTCTCAATACCCAGCAGAAACTATTTTGCCCTTATTTCTAATTTTGTTGTAGAGAGAGTATAAGCAATAATAGGAAGGAACAAGGGTTTTTGCTGGTTGAGATAAGGATAGCTATACAGGGCGTTGACTCACATTGACTGAAATTATTTTCTAAAGAAAGAACCAAGTTGACTGCTTGGTTGAGCCAAGAGATAATAAGGGTAGGACTCCAAGCCCAAAGTATGACTAGAAGTTTATCCAGAACTTTTGGTGGTTCCAGATAATTTTCTGCAAACTGAAAGTCTACATTAGGGACTGGTTGGTTACATAATGTCGGGGACTTTTTGCACGCTATTTTCCCAGCGATGGCACAGATTATCATTCCTCATCTGTGAAATGAAACCGCACCATGACTACTACCTAACCTTCCCTTAGAAAAGAGTTGTTTGTAGTCTCTTCGTCTTTAGGAAATTGAAGCATCAAACTGTATATTTTGAGGAGGCAATAGAGTTAGCTCTGCAGTCTTCAAACGTCTACATAATTCAATCAGGCATAATCCCTTCCCAGAAAAGCCTACCTAGAGGGTTTGAAAAACACGCTAGCCTGACCCTACAGAAGGGGATCTTGTAAATGAAGTGATGCTCTGTAGTGTTCAGAGTCTCAGGCCTCCGACAAGATGCTCAACGTCTCAAACACCGCTTCATAAAAAAGTTACCACCCTGGTGGTAAAAGGGTCAGGCACAGGCCTGGGTGGGATTGCCCTCCAACAGAAGCTGCTGAGGGCAGGGCCGACCCTGGGTCTTCAATGAGCAGGGCTGTTCGGTGCCGCCGCGTCACATCACCGGCGGCAGAGCGGCCGGTACAGGCCCGAGCCGTCGCAGCTCGAGCGGAGGAACGTCCCTTGAAGGGCCTGCGCACCCATCCGCGACTCTTCCCGCCGTCGCCCGGGGGCCTTGCTGCAGTGGGTCACCCAATGCGATCTCAAAGAAGAAGAAAAGCTAAAAGAGTGCTTACCTGGAGTCACTGTATAGATGACGACGCACCCACGAAAACGAAGTTAAACTGCTGGCGGCCCAGACGCCAGCCACGGCGACCCTTCCCGACCCCGCAAGACTCCTGGCGCGTGCTGATAATGTCACTTCCGCCAGTTCCGTCGTGGGCTTCAGAGAATTGTCCCCCCCTATCTGCGGCTCGGGAAGTATGTAAACTCCGTCACTTCCTGTGTTTCCCTGGGCACTTGGCTTGAGGAGAACGAGGGGGCGGGGCTCTGAAGCAGTTCCTGGGCGGGGCCACCTTGTCACCGCCTTCTCTAATTGGTCCTTGACAGACACAGGAAAGATAACGATTTTTTAAACATTTTATTTATTTACTTATTATTTCATATTCATTACTTTTTTTGAGATGCTGGGGACGGAATCCAGGGCCTTGCGCATGCTAAGCAAGCGCTGTACAACTGAATTACATCCCTAGCCCTGAATTTTCTTTCACAAGCTTTGGCAAGCTAACGCCACCTCCTGAGTTTTTTTCTTCTGTAAAATCAACTGTTCTTTCGTTTTAGAGAAGATGTAAGATTGACAATGTGAATGCATAAACAGAGCCTGGCATATGGCAAGCATGTACTCCTTCACAATGCTCGCAACAGATGTTTGCCAATATTTAAGAGAGCAGAAAGATAAGAAAACCAAAACAGGTGGCTTGTTCTTACAAATTCATTTATATTTTAATTCTGCTACTACCATCTCATACACTCTTCCCCCATGTTTCTTAGCTGCCTGCTGATGCTTGATTACACTCCAGCATACCTTCATTTTTCCCTTCTGTGGTTCTACTTGCCTGTTTGTTTCCTTTGTATTTTGCATTATCCGTGATGTCCGGGGCTTCTTAAGGATAGGAAATGTTGTGTACTATTTTAGTATCCAGGACAGTACCTGTGTATGTTAACTTATGGAGAGACCTTAATAAGTACAACCCTGTATTTTTCTCTGTCCATAGCCATTAAGGAAAATTATTGGAGGTAAACCTAACCAAGGTACCTTGTAAACACATACGGAAATGTCACAATGAATCCCCCCTATACAACTAATATATGCTAATAAAAAAATTTTAAGAAAATGTGCTTGTTTTATACTCTGTTTACAGTAAAGCCTGAGAAAGGTTTTAATTGAACAAGTACTTTTAAATAGTCTTTCCTGGTTCCAAAATCTCGTGTATACATCAGATATCCAGGCTACATTAGCCAGTTGCTTGCTTGCTTACCTGCTAGCATTTATGATTGAAAGGAGCGAATGCTCCTAAAAAAAAATGCTCCTAAAAATGCATAAAGAGAAATACACATGAAAAAGGTATCAAGTAAAGGAACAATATTGTCAGCACCAGAACACCCCTTCCAAACTCGGTCCAAGCAGGCCTTTTGTATTCATTGCACCCCGGAGATCTGTAGTATATATTCTTTGCTCAACATTGTAAAGCAAATCCATGTAGGTGTGTCTTTCTGTGTCTCCTATCTAGCTGCAGCTGGTTCATTTCTTCGCGGTGCTACCCCATCGTATGACTGTACTTCGGTTAGTCTATTCATTCTGCTGTTTATGGCAACAATGCCATATGAACACCGTGTGTGTGTTCTGGCTAGGGGATAACCTGGTGTGACTTCGCTGGGTCGTGAAGTGTGCACACACCAACTGAGCCAAGAGATGCTAGCCCTTTCCAAATCCTGTGCAAATGTACTCTTCCACCAACAGGGCATTCGAGTTGCCGTTCCATAGTTTGGCCACGTTTATTTGGTATGATAAAATTTTTAAATTTTTATCCGCCAGGAGTGAATTCGAGTGTTTTCTTGGCGGGCGGAGAGAAAGCCAGCTTTCTTGGAATAAGCGGCGCCCGATAACCCACAGCCAAGTGGTGGCAAGGACCTCCAGGAGCAACGACGAGTGCGGGATAGAGAAGCCGAGGGAGGAACCGGAAGCGGCGCGACTTCCGGCCGGCGCCGCCATCTCGCCGTGAGACAGCAAGAGAAGTCCGCGATGCTGTCTTCCGCTGCCACCTCCTGGGGGCCCGACCGAGAGTTGGGGATGGAGTCGCACCTCGCCGCGGGCCCTATACAGTGGCGCTTCTCGCCCTACGCCTTCAACGGAGGGTAAAACTCGGACTGCCGCGCTTTCTTGTCCTTCCGCGCCACGGCGGACTTCTCGCTCGGGTGTCTGGGTGGCCGAGGTGCAGCCTCCCGTGTTTGCCGCCGCCGGCCTTCAGGTCCGCGCAGCACGTTGGCCCCTGTGCAGCCTGGCTGAGGAGAGCCTGAGGCAGCTTCTGCTTCGGGGCCTGGCTTTCTCGTGGGGCCCGGGCGAGGGGCGAGTTTCGCATCCAAATTTGAAAATTATGACTGGTCAAGTTGTTAGATGCGAAGCTTGGTCTGTAAGCTGGACATTTGATCGTTTTCTGTAATTTCAAATAGAAAGTGGTATGGGTTGACCAGGCTTAATTTCGCTGACCCGTGTTTAACGTTTAGTTTAAATTCAGGGAAAAAATATAAAAGGGACGTGTGTTTGTGTTTCTTGCATGCAGGTTGCTTTTGCTTCTTAGTTACCCGATGTATCTTAAAATACTTTTCCTAAGGCTGCAGAAAGACGCTTTGTTTAGAACTCTTTGCATTGGAGAGTTGTAAACTGATGCAGGTGTTACAGTCAAACCTTATACGTTAAAACATACATAGTTCTCACAGACACATGGTTAGGTTTTAAAGACTGAATATGCAGACTTTTGGAGTATGAGAATGAAAGATTGATTTTAGCCTTGGTTGTGCCACTAAAGGTCAATATGGTCTTCCTTAGCTACTTTACAGTTTAGGGAAGAATGAAAAAAAAAAAAAAGACAGTTTATATAAACTACAAGCAGTTTTCTTATTTAACACTCAGGGTAAGTGACAGTCCTGGTCCACAGAGCTGGTGTGAATTGAGCCAAGACTTACAGTTTTCTCACCACTGAGTTTGTTTGCTTTTTCTAAGTGCAAGTCTTAACAGTTCCTGTGATGACTAAGTACTTATGTTGTAAGGTAGGTTATCCGACCCATTTCATAAAGCTATTATACATTCTTTCCTGTAAGAATTTTCAAAGTATTCAGTATGCAGTACCCATTATTTACTTTTTAGCCCCTTGTAATTCAGTTTAAGCCATTACTTCCCTAAGTTAGTTACAACTTTTTGTTTATTAAATCAAATCACTCTTTCTCCATCTTTGTTCTTTCTCTTTAGCATTCATTTCAGCTGGTGCTCAGGTGCTTCTGCCTCTACAAAAGGAGACATTAGTCAGTAGTTTCCAGGTTTGTCACTTAGCGCACTCACATCTCTCATCCCTGGAAGTATATTTCCCAAGTCTGTTTCTCCAGTTTTACTTCTCATGAGTCCCTCGCTTCTGACCTGTTCACTAAAACGTTTCTAACTAGATTTTCTGTTCTCACTATAATTAAGTTAGTAAACAACAAAAAAAGTAAGCTTATTCCTTTCAATCACTCTCCTCCTTTAAAATACAACTCAGGATTATACCACTGTTCTGCTTATCCACATTTAATATGAATTATCATAATTGGCTTTCTCCATTCCTGACATATTTAGGTAGTTACAGAAACTTGGAGGTACCAGTTTTTCCTCTTCACTCTGCTTCCTTCCTATTGGTGAATCTTAGTGGCACAACGTTTCTGTTCCAACACATGCTGTTGTCACAGTAGTCTTAAAATTCGACTTTGCAAGTGAAACTTCTCTCATTCTTGTTCATATAACCTGGTGGTTCCTTGGTAAAATCCCAGAATCTAATTTGGCATTTGGAATTTTCTACAACAGAAAATTTGTTTGTTGTATAAGGATTATGTTCCTCCACTCACTTACATAAAAAGGGCCACATGAATAAGTTGCCTATACTGTTTCATGTACTGTTGTAATTACTATCTTTTCCCCTTTGTTTGCTTTTCATATTACCTGGAATGCTTTCCTTTTCTACTTTGGAGCTTTAGTACATATCCTGCCTCCATAAAAATAGTACCTAGTTTTCTGAGAGCTTATATTCTGTGAAGCACTATGCTAGATTCTTTATGTGAATTATGTTGCTTAATTCTCACAGTCACCCTGTAACACAGGTACTGTTATTATCAACTTAAAATTAGAGGATTTGTCCAAGACCACACAGCTAGTAAGTGGTGTGGATACCCGCATCAGGTAATTCCAGAGCCCAGGTGCTTAGTCCTCACACACTGTTTCATCACATTCCATAATGGTAGCTCACACTCAGTAGAAGACCAGTTATTCACCAGGCACTGTTATGAGGGCTTTACAACTATCAACTCATTTAATCTTTGCAACACTCTTAATTAGGTAGCTACCATTATTATGTCTGTTGTATATATGAAGAAATTGAGGCCTTGAAAAGTTAGGTAACTTACCCACAGCATCATATCTGCTAAGTAAGGGGTCTTTCACCATTAGGACCCAAAGTGATCTGTTTTTGAAGTTGTGCCGTAAGCCTCTTTAGTCAGCTATCAGAAATTGTACAAACCAAAAAAGGAAAAACTTGTTGTTTTTGTCTCCATTTTGTCAGATATTTTGAGTGTCTACTGTGTGTTAGACATTATCTAATGTCTAAGAGTTTGCGTATAAGGAAATAAAGACACTATTTACCTCTTTTCTGAATTTAAGTAGCTTGCATTGTAGGACCACTATCTATACCTGGTCCTCAAGAACACAGATACGGCATTCAGTTGTTTTGTAATATCAGTAACTTGCATAAGTAGGTAATTAATTCTCCAGTGATAATGGTAATGATTCAGAAGCTTTCTCACTGCCTCCTGCGAAGGGGCTTTTACTCTGTTTTAGGATTAAAAAATTTCCAGGTGACTTGTAATTATAGGTCCTTTCTTCCCAAGATTTGAATCTTACTCTTGTTCACATCTAGTAGGTTATATCCATCTAGTAACCCACATGTCCTGTGGAGCACGCTCCTATTTGAAAGCAATGTGATTGCCACCCTGAGGAATTAATTAATTTTCTTTTTTTCTCCCTCAGTACTGTATTGGCAATTGCTGGAGAAGATTTTTCAATTGTTGCTTCTGATACTCGATTGAGTGAAGGGTATTCAATTCACACCCGAGACAGTCCCAAATGTTACAAATTGTAAGTACTTCTAAGGATATCTTTGTGATGACTTAATGCTACATGAGATTCCACTTCTTTCCTTGGAAGCCTATCTTGCATTTTTGTTAAAACACAATTTTCTAAGTGTTTTCTAAGAACTGAGAGTACAGTCTTTATGATATTTGCCATTTGGGGTAACATAAAGGCTCTTACGTTAGTAGTGACGTACATCTCTTATGACTTCTCTGTTCATACAACTTTCCCTGTCTTTACACTGTGTTGTTAATGCCTTGTTTATGGGAGCCCTTGGTAGACTAAGGAAATACTTAGACTTTGGACATATGTGCTACCAATATGTTTTTTTAAACTGTTTTTCATATTTTACACTGTAGAAGTTTTAACTTTTATGTAGTCAAATTTATGAAATTTCTGTGTCTCTTGAATTGTGTCATCCTTATCTTACGCAGCCCAAGATTGTAAAAAATTTACCCATATTTTCTTTAATCCTCTCATAGTTGCCTTTTAAAATTTTTTATTTATTTATTTGGGGATTTTTTGTTGTTGGGACTGGGGTTTGAACAGGATTTCATGCTTGCAGAGCAGGCACTCTACCACTTGAGCCACACCTCCACTCCATTTTGCTGGGGGTTTTTTTTGTTTTTTTCTAATTTAATTTTATTTTTTGGAGAGATGGGGTTTTGCAGTCTATTTATCTGGTTTGACCTTGAACCCAGAGTCACCCAAGTAGCTAGGGTTACAAGCATGAGCCACTGGCTGCATTTTTTTTTTTCTTTAAATTTTTGGTCCACCTATAATTCATTTGGTGTCAGGAGTGATACATAGGGATGTAGACTCCCTCCCCCAGAAAGGCTGGCTAATTTTCCCTTTACCTTTTAAAGAAAAATGGCAATAGAAGTTTAAAAATTAAAACTGCCCCAGATGTGCTTTGTTTTATAGTTTAATCAACTCAAATTTCCTGAAATGTGCTTTTTACAGAACAGACAAAACAGTCATTGGATGCAGTGGTTTTCATGGAGACTGTCTTACCCTGACAAAGATTATTGAAGCAAGGCTAAAGGTAGATACTTTTGTATATATCTACACTGTTGAAAATTACTAGCAGTTCATGAGATTGTTGTAAACCTGAAGCACAACTGTTGCTTACAACAGCTTAGAAAGACACCAAATTAGCAGGTAGAACTAACATCTCCTAGAAATGAAGTTATAACATCAATGAGGACCATTGCAGTTCTCTTAAAACTTCCATGCTGGACTGGAGGTGTGGTTCAAGTGATAGAGTGCCTGCTTTGCAAGCTTGAAGTCTAAGTTCAAACGCCAGCCTCACCAAAACAAATGAAAAAAAACTTCCATGCCATATAAGGGTCCTCTAGAGACAGTCTGGAGGGCTCTTCCCTCTTAAACAAAGCAAGTCAGTCTGACAGATGGTAACCCATGTGGTTTATAGACAGGAGCTGTTTGGAATACTGCTGGCAGACTTGCTTTCCCCTTTATGTCCTTGGACTCTTAGTGGACAAGACAGGATATAGGAAAAAGTAAGTCTGGAGCGTGAGTGAGAGGGACCGCCCTCCACCTGGCAGGCTTTGGCAGTGCCACCTCAGGGACAATTAGACATGAGCATGTCTGTGATCACATTCTGTTTTGCTTGTTTGAGTCACTTAAGGTGATTGACACATGATTAATTTCACTGGAGCAGGTGTGCATTTAGTGAACTGACACCTGCTTTTTGGCTGCATAGAAATGATTTCACTCAATTGTGTATAGTTTTTTTTAGAACCTTTACTTTCAAAGCTTCAAGAACTTAAATTTATTAGCAAATATATATACAGTGACTAGCAAGTATATATACAGTGACTCCTAATTCATATTACAACTTTTGGGACAAATTCTTCTGTAGATCAATATACTTGTTAACATGCAGCATAGCTCATTTCTTCTTTTTGCATTTCAGTTGTCATTGTTTGGTTTTACATTATTTCTTAGGCATCTCTTTAGATGCTTGCTATGTGGTTGGCAAAAATTAGTGAACTTAAATCCATTTTTGTGAAAAGTCTCTGACAGTTGGATGATTTATGTTAGCTAAGGGTATAGTAAATCTAGGGTTATGAAATCACTGAATTATCATCCTGAGATCCTGGGTTTGTTGTTGGGGTTTTTTGTTTTGTTTTTTGGCAGTACGGGGTTTGAACTCAGGGCTTTGAGCTTGCTAGGCAGATGCTCTACCACTTGAGCCAAGATCCTCTTTTTGATACTTATGTTCTCCACTGTAGATGCTTCAAGGAGGAAGATTGCTGCCTAGCAAGACCCCCTTGGACTATCGATATATATTTAATTTTAAAAATGAAGGGCAGGAGAGAAAAATCTTTTCCGGAGGTGGGTGGGCACAAGGAAAGGGGGAATGGTGGATGTATTTTGTATCCATATATGAAAATAGAATAATGAAACATGTTGAAATTGTTCTAAGAAGGGAGAAAGAGGGAAAAAATAGATAGGGTAAATCCACCTAAGATTTATTTTAAGTACATATATAAATATCACAATGTATCCCCCTATACAACCCCTATATGCTACTGATATCATTTATTAAAAATGATTGCTGTCTATATTAGAATTATGTGGAGTAAGAGTTGCTGCCCTCAGATAACCTGTTCATACAAGTGTCTACAAAAAGAGGGACCTACATCTGGAATGATTAGGGTCAGTAGACTTCTATCTGTAAAGGACCAGATGGTAAATATTTTCAGCTTCATGGGCTATTTGGTCTGTGTCACAGCTATCCAGGTTTGCTGTTTTAATGAAGGCAGCCATAGATAGTGTGGCTGTGTTCCTGTAAATTTTTATTTACAGAAATAGGCAGTGGGCTGGATGAAACGTGGGCTATGCTTTACTGACCCCTGTCTAGGTGCACAGCAAAGTGGAGAGGTGCGTGTGAAACATCTTCCTCAGATCACCTCATACACCCTGCTGTGTATATTTGCTGACTAAGATGAGTGGCAAGGAAAATAGGCCCTTTAAACCAGTCAAGAGCAAACTTAGGATTCTTCCCCTTAAAAAATTTATAGCTCTCCAGATAATGATATGTAATAAATTGTCATTTTATGTAAGTAATATTGTGTTATATGGTCATAAAAGAAACAGGTAAGCTTTCCCATTTTGCTGAGGTATGCTTTTACTCTATATTAATCATCATTGTAGACTGACAGGTTCCACCTCCTTATAGCTATTATTTTTATCAAACTATGCAGATGTACAAGCATTCTAATAACAAGGCCATGACGACTGGGGCAATTGCTGCAATGCTGTCCACCATCCTATACTCAAGACGCTTTTTTCCATACTATGTTTACAACATCATCGGGGGACTCGATGAAGAAGGTAGTCTCACTTTCTGGAAAGTGGAGGGGTAGAGTTTCCTAGATGTGTGCATTTCCACCTGGAGTTGAAAAGAACCATAAATACCATTTAGCCCACCAGTTTCAGTCTCATCATGAAAGTGAGAAGAAATTGAAGCTGAGAGGGATAAGTGACATCCAAACGTGCACAGTAAATGCTGCCTATCATGAATATTGAGCAGCCAGTTATTTCACTGTTTTCTCAGTGAAATATTAGCATGCCCTAGTAGCAATTAGCATTTTTATCTTATGTAAAGAGATCTGACCGAGGGAAGCTTGACCTAAATGCAGTTGAAAGCAATAAGTAACAAACATATTTTGGCTAAAAAGTTCTTGAAAAGTGTTATCTTAGAGGTCATTTGGTGCTCTACCACTTGAGCCACCGTTCTCGCTGGGCTGACATCATACCACCACGCCCAGCTTTTTTTCCCATTGAAATGGGTCTCACAAACTCTTTTGCCCAGGCTGGTTTAGAATTGCAGTCCTCCCAGTCTCAATCTCCACATGGAATGATAGTTGGTCACCACTTCACCCAGCTATTGGTTGAGATAGGGAATCTCACAAACTTTGCCCAGACTAACCTTGAACCACGATCCTCCCTATCTCAGCCTCTCAAGTAGCTAGAATTGCAGGCATGAACCACCAGCACCCAGCTTCTTCTCTGATTCTTAACTATTATCCATATAGGGCTTCGGAGCGCATTCAATTTGCCTACTTAGGTTTAGGTATAGACAGATCAGGCTGACACAGTATCTTAAGGCTTCCAGCCTTACTTGAAAAGTAAGAGAATATGTAAAGAATTACTCTTAATATGGCTAATTAAGTTCTAGCAAAAGGTGAGCTTGCCTTAAGCTAGCATGCTGGATGCTTCTAGTTCCTCTTTTGACTTAAGCTGTATCTGACTTGCGTGTCAGATTAATCCGTTCAGATTTTAGCAATGTTAAAAATAGCACCATTGGATCTCCATGGATCCATGGACTTTTTCCAAGAGTCAGAGATTTTAGCAATGTTAAAAATAGCACCATTGGATCTCCATGGATCCATGGACTTTTTCCAAGAGTCAGAGATAGTCCAGGAAAGCTCACATCCGTGAAATGCCAGATCCAGGATGTGAAATCAGCTGTTTGACTTCAGGGTATTTTCTTTGATTTCCATTAGGGTGTTCTTAGTGTGGTGGACTTCTCAGGAATCTTTATGAGCTTCTTGTTTGTCTGCTTTGCTTTGGGTTTTTTTTTTTTTTTTTTTTGTAGTTTTTATTTTATAGAGGACCTTGTGTGTATAATAAATCAGGCCTCTGAGGCTTGAGCTCAGTGGCTCAAGCCTGTAGTAACAGCTACTCAGGAGGTAGAGGTCATAAGGATCATGGATTTGAGGCCAGCCCTGGTAAGAAGTTCTCAAGATCCCCATCTTGACCAATGGCTGGGCAAGGTAGCACACATGTCATCCCAGCTACATAGGAAAGCACAGATAAGATTGGTCCAGGTTGGTCTGTGTGTAAAGAAAGAAAGAACCAACATAAGAAGTGTTAGCAGAGGGCTCAAGTGTTAGTATGCCTGCTTAGCAACCACAAGACCCTGAATTCAGCTCCCAGTACCACCAAAACAATAAATACATAAAGCAATCCTGCTTTGCCATTGTCCAAGGACAATTTTTAGTTCTTTCACTTCTACTCTGGTGCTCTGCAGTTATCATCTTCTAATAGGTTGTTTTGGCAGGTAATCGTCTTGTAATACTTACGGGTTTCTGTTTTGGCAGATGATGGTTCTTGGCTATGTCCTCTTCCTCATTAACACCCTCCTGTAACCCATCACACTTGTGATAAAACACATACCTGATGTTTTTATTAGGTATATGTTTTATCAGATGTTGATCTTTGTTATGCCAAGTGGTATTGCTATGATAATAGTTCCTCTCTTAGACAATTGTTTTGTTTTTCCTGGTGTTACCTATCTCTCATTGGTTAAACCTTTTGTCAGTTCTTGGCACACATTGAATATAGTTCACTCGTGTGCCTACCTCTTGCTCTGAGGTAAACCAGCTGTTCTAGGCCTCATGCACACTGACCTTCTAGATTTCTTTGACCAGCACTATGGGAATTCTTTGTCTTGCTCCTGGCCTTGGATTCCATTCCACCTGCCTGCCACTTCGTGGTTTGTTTCTTTGTTTTGGCATATATCTCTCAAATATTTCTAGGGAGAAAAAAAACTTTTTTGGGTCTTTGCTTTTAGAATCTTCAGCCTCATGTTCTGGCATTTCACAGTGATGTTCCTGGTCCAGGTCATTTCTCCATACCTTATTACCCTTCTTACTGTTTTCTGATTTTTGGCCTTCCATATTATTCATCTCTTTGTCTTTTTTGAAGATTTCCTCAATTTAACTTTTCCCTGTTTATTGTTGCTTTTTTTTTTTTAATTTCTGGTATCTTTAGTTTCCAAGAGCTTTTTCTTATTTTTTGGCTTTCTTTTTTTTTTTTCTTTGTTTCTTTTCTACTTTTTTTAAATATCCTGGTTTTGTACATCATTTGAAGTTTTCTTGTGTTTTTTACATCTCGTTAGATTGCTATTTGTTTTTTGTTGTCTGCTATATTGGTGAATATATCAATTTACTTTGATTTTTTTGTTATCCATTCATCTTAGGAGTGACGTGCCACAGTCTGACTGGGAAGATCTGTGTTGGTGTGACTTATCCACCAACAGGCCTTGCTGTGTGCTTAGGTTCTGTACATCTCAGAATAAAACCTGATCTGACTTCTCGGCCCAGGAGCAGGCAGAGAACTGGAGGTCTCGGATGTTCATGTCAGCTTTCCATTTCTGTTCCCTGTTTACTCAGGTCTGAGAGCCTAGAGCCCCACATCCAGAGCCTCTGCTAAAATCTCCAGAGACTATCTTCTTGCTAGTGGAAGTGTGGACCTAGCGGGCAATGCCCCCTATTTAGATCTCAAGGACGTGGGCCAGCAGCTGTTCTTCAGCATCACCACCTGTCTACTTTGACCCCTGTGCCTTTAAACTCTGGTTGCTTTTTACAGTTTCTCGCCACAAATTAAAATGTCGTTAGTTTTTCTGCATTGTTTTCTGCAACAAAAACAATGAATAACATGCTTGTAGACACATTCATTCAGTTATATATAGCTATTGAGCATCCCTAATCCAAAATCCCAAATGCTCCACAATCCAAAATTTTATGAGCACGAACATGACACCACAAATGGAAAAATGCATAGTCTTGTAACTATACTTTGGCTGTATTACCACAGAGATAATTTCAAGCTAATGAGCCCAGCTGTATGTAATGGTTTTTAGTGGCTGACTTACACCATGTCTGGTATATGAGAATGTGCCAGTCAGTTCTCAAAAGGTATGTAGATTGTTCATGTTTTCTTAATATAAACAATATGATGAGCATCCTTGTTGGCACACCTTTGTACGTTTCTCGAATTGTGCCTTTCTCCCTAGAAGAAATTTCTAGTAGTTGAGATACTGGATCAGGGTAGTGGTGTTTGTTGTTGTTGTTCTTCTTTCTTCCTCTTCGTCCTCCTCTCCTTCTTCGAAACTTCAGAACTTTATATATCTTTCCCAGTATCAGAGCATCTTTTCATATGTTTATCGGCCTTTTTCCAACTCCTTGGAGACTGGCCATATACTAACCTTTGCTGGTTTCCTCATTCACACATCAGTCCCGTCCATATTGATCTACAAGAATTCCTTTCAGCTGTGCCAGCCCTGTTCACAAATATAGTGGATGCCTCCAGGAGTATTCTTTGCCCCTTTGGGAATATCTTTTGCTGCATAGACAGATCTGTGAGTCTTGTTAGAAAAGCCTTTCCATTGAAAGTTTATCTGCATTTGTTTGACTTTCCCTTTTGTGTCTAAATCATTGCCCTTTTTTTAGAATTAATTTTAATGAGGAAAAGCACATAATAGTTAAAATTTATACCATTCCACGCTGATGTTAGAAGTATCTACTTTTTCCAGGGGGCCTTTGAACTTCTGGTGTTAGATAAATATCCCCCTTTCTTTTGTTTTCCTCACATATGTTCTGTGTGGTTTTCTGAGATTGATTGCCCCTCAGGAAAAGCTTTTAGGCCTCCCTTACTTATGGCCACTCACCTCACACCGAGATATGTTCCTTCTTTTTCCTTTATACTTCATCTCCCTTTTTTCTTTGCATGTAGAGGTTAGTGGACTACCCACCATGATCTCTTGTCCCAAGTTTGCTGCCAGCAATGCACTTCCCCAGATTTTCTCAGGTGAACCAATGTTGCCTACTGTAGCAGGGAGTTCAATCCATGTATTTCTGCAGTGAAAAAAATACATAGATCTAATAGTGCCAGTTGTATACATATGGCAAGAAAATTGTCCCTGTCTCTCATCTTCCAGGATAACTGCTAGAGTCCTTCAATTCTGGTATAATGTGTTTTCTAATCAGATATGTCACTTTTAAGTCATAACTTGTGAATGATCCATGATTTCTCACAATTGTTTTTAAAAAGGCCTTTTCTAAAATTACAGGGTGATGTGTTCTTTGTAGTAAACTCAAACAATAAAGAAGCATACGAAGGTGACTCCCTTTTATTCTTGTCTTCAACCCCATACTGAAAAATAACCAGCTACAGTTTGCTATTTATCTTTCCAGACTTTGTGCTTATATAAACATATATACAGTTTTCTTATGCTTTTTAAATGAACAGCATATTACACAGCTCTTCATTCTGCATGTCCTACAGCTGTGTCCCCCAATCCCATCATACGTATATATGTCTTCTGTTTCTGAGGCTACCAAATAGTGGTAATGATGTGTGTGTGTGAGGAGCACATTTGTTGTACATGTTTTGGGGCATGTTAGCTCTCCCTTGTCGCTCTGAGGAGGTTGTGTATATTAGCCTGTTTGAGGACTGAAACCAGCCCCTGACTAGGCTAGTTAGGAGGTAGAGGTAGAACTTGTACTTGGGCAGTCTGGCTGTGAGATTTACTGTCTTAATTCTTAAACACTGCTCTGCTCTGCATTTATTGTGTTGGTGTGCCATTTTTTCTAATGAATTTTGGGTTGCTTGGAAATGTCCTTCTTGCTCATATTGCTGTATGTGTTTTCAAAAGGATTTTTTAGGATAAAATCCTATGCTACAATTGTTGGACAGATTCTGATGCTGGTTGCTGTTCCAGAAGGTATAATTGAAACTCATTTCAGCAGAGTCTGCTACGCCCACTCATGGGGCTCTTAACTGTTGTTCTTTATCATTCTACCAGTTCCAGTTGTAACATTTTGTAAATTGTTACCTAATCTTTTATAGGTGACATTTGTGTTTTTCTGAATCTCTCCCTTATTAAGTTTTGCAGTATGATATTAAAGAGTATGCTCATTATTAGTTTAAAAAGAAAAAAGCACAGTAAGTTTTCTGTGTGATCATGCACGCATACGTTTTCTCTTTTTTGGTAAAACTGGGGTTTGAACTCAGGGCTTCGTGCTTACAAAACAAGTGCTCTACGGCTTGAACCACACCTCCAGTCCATTTTGCTCTGTTTATTTTGGAGATGGAGTCCTCCTTATCTCAGCCTCCCAAGTAGCTAGACTACAGGTATGAACCACTGCACTAGCTCCTGGCTTAGCACTAGGGAAATTTTAAACTATTGAAGTAACATCATGAGGAATTTGGTCAGAATTAGAGCAGGACCCATGACCACTAGACAGTGTGTCTGTGAAGCCACTTGCACATCCAGGGCCACAGCACAATCATCAGGAACATTAGTTCTGGTAGGGAGGTTGGCTGCCAGGTTGGCATGACTTAGTTCTGACCACATTTTGTAAAGAGCAGCTGTGAGGGGCCAGATTATCTGCCAGAGTTACCTGCACAACAGTAAACATGTTTTGATCTTTGCCTGAAATTTTTGCCACATTGGTGATGTACTTTGTGTTATCTTTTGACTGGCTTTTATTTTCACCATGGCTTGGATGGTAATTGGGATGTTGTCCTTACAGAAACTGTTTTCTTCTTTAAGGGAAGGGAGCTGTATACAGCTTTGACCCAGTGGGCTCCTACCAAAGAGACTCCTTCAAGGCTGGAGGCTCAGCAAGTGCCATGTTGCAGCCCCTGCTTGATAACCAGGTAATGAGCCTGTGTTCCGCTATTCCAGCTGGGACACAGGGCTTCCCTCCACTCTTCATTCTCCTGAAGTGCTACTGCCCAAACCATCCTGCCTGTGTTCTGCCAGTGCTCTGGAGGTCCCCACCTACTGCCATGGTTTTATAGGGCTCTTAACCTCCTCTATAGTAGTCATGTTTCAGTCCTCATACCATCTTTACATGAGGTCACATAAATGCCTTTATACCCTGACTCACTACTTCTGGGTTACCTATTTTTCTATTTTAGCTTCCAGTATATTTTAAATATACCTTCCCATGTAGCTGCCTAGATTCAGTCTTGAATTATTTGACTCATTTCCCAACATCCTTTCTGCCTCCAAGCTTAATTCCCTAATTCATCCTGTTCACTTTTACGGCATATGATCTATATGGCTACCCTTCTGATTCTTGCTGATCTCCCTCACACCACACCCATACCCTACTTTTCCCTGGACTGATGTGCACCCCCATCTGATACTACACACTCAGTCAGTAATCTTCAGCTTTCACCTGCCCAGGGTCCTCTGCTGGAACCTTCCTCTAGACTTAGTTAATGGCTATTTGGGGCTCTTCTTAGAGTGACATTTGGTCTTGTGGTACCTGCGTCTACCTCAGTAGGTTTGTCTTTCTCAAGATTTGCCAGTGAATATTTGTCAGGTATGTGTTGTTCACCTGGGACTGGAAGATCTTTAGTCAGAAGGACATAATATGACATGAGGTATTTTTATTCACTGGGAAACCTCACATATGTGAGGTATTGGGGAGAGCTACAACCTTTCTTTGGTCTTATCATTGCATGGCACCTCATTGCAGCCTCCTGTCCCTCCAGGTTGGTTTCAAGAACATGCAAAACGTGGAACATGTCCCACTGTCTTTGGACAGAGCCATGCGACTGGTAAAAGACGTCTTCATTTCTGCAGCCGAGAGGGACGTGTACACTGGGGATGCCCTCAGAATCTGCATTGTGACCAAAGAGGGCATCAGGGAGGAGACCGTACCCCTGAGGAAGGACTGATACGTGGACCTTACCTTAGAGCTATTAGACGAATTTGTTTTATTAAAAAAGAATCCTGAAGTACTCATTTCATTTTAATGTGTCTTTTCTAAGTAAGACAGATATATGAAGTAGAGTTTCTTTGATTCGCTTCATTCTTCCCATAATTTCCAAATTTAAAGGTTTTGTTTTGGTTTGGTTTTTGGTGGTCCTGGTGTTTGAACACAGAGCCTTGCATTTGCTAGACAGGCTCTGTACCAAGCTCTTTTTTGCTTTACAGGTAGGATCCTCCTGTCCACCAATAGCCTCCCATGTAGCTGGGATTCTACACCCCACCATGCCAAGTTTGTACGTTGAAATGGGACTCTGGCAGTCTTTTGCCCTAGGCTGGCCTCAAACTATGATTCTCCCAATTTCTGCCTTATGAGCAGCTGAAATTACAGGTGTGAGCTACCATTCCTAGCTGTGGTATTTTTGTATTTTAAGGATGAAAAATGCGTCATGTCTGTTTTTCCTTATATTTATAAACAAATTTATTTGGGAAATTAACCACTTTGGCCAATTTTTTATTTATCCCATCAGCTTGCCTGAAAGGACCTTTAAGCTGCCTGGAAGGGATAGTGTTTATCAGGGCTTTTATTAAAACTAATGCCACAATGATATCACCTCATTAATAATGTATGATAAAAATAAGCAAATTAAAAAAAAATTTTTTTTAAATGACTAATGCATGTAAATGGAATGTCTTTAAGATTTTTTTTTTTTTTTACCCCTGGGATTGTCAAGCAGGCAAAGTGGAATGGCCGTTTTGGAGAGAATTTTTTAACTGGAATAAAAGAAAATTATAAAAGTAAATAACCTTTCACATGGACTTGAGCTAGAAATCTGGGATAATTTTTTATAAGTACTTTGGTAATGTTAAAATTGAGACCTGAGGCTGAAGGTGCTTAGCTAGCTTCCCTGAGTACCTGGGTTTAATCCCTGACACTACAACAAAGGAAGACCTAAATTTTGATAGAGCTAAAGAAAGTTTTGACTTAGAATCACTAGATACATTTTAACTCCACTATAGTGTTTGAATACTTTTGGTATTGAGGAAGCTGTACTGCATAGCAATAGCCTAGGTACTTACTAGAGGAACAACCTGTGGTATGTTAGGACTTCACTTATTGGCACTTAATCTTAGAAACCACTTTTGTTTATTTTGCCTCTTATTAAAAAGAATTGGTTCAAATTATCAAAATTTCTGATAAATACATATTGTAAGGATCTGTTCTAGAAACATTTATCCTGTGTGTATCACAAGTACAAAATCTGGGCTACAGATTTTGTTCAGATTTCTCTTGGTCTGTGTTAGAGCTCTCCAGAAACAGAACCAATAGGATATGCATGAATAGATGTATGAGAGGATTTATCGGGGGGAATGAACATGTGGTCCTGGAGACTTAAGAGTGCCACATATTTTGCTCAGGCCCAGTCTGAAGGCCCAAGAACAAGGCAGGAAGGGGGAGGCCAAAAGCCAGAGAACCTCAAGTTCTGATGTCTAAGGGAGGAGGAGTGTGTTCCAGCTCTGGATAATAAATTACCCCTCTTGCCTTTTTGTTCCATCTGGGACCCAACATGGAGTGTGGCTCTTTGCCTCTTAATTCACCAATCACTTCACAGACCCCTCAAAGACAGTGCTTTACAAGTATCACCTAAAATCACTATCACAGCTAAAAATGGTAGACTAGACCCCCACGCAAAATGTACATTTTTCATCTTAATATAAACTAGATCTATTCTTTTTCCAAAGGATTTCCTATTAATTTGGAGGATTCAGTGTTTCATTTAAATTATATAAATTTGTCTAGAATTTTCTATGAGGTCGTCACCTCCCTAGGTTTTCAGGGAAAATTCTAGACTTTGAGTGAAGATTATGCTTGTTAAATCTTTTTCCCACTTTTAGCTATGGGTCATTGTAACCTTACATTCCACACTGTTGCTGGAGTCCAGAATGAATGTCACGTGACTCAAGCTACTTCAGCCAGCAGTTATCATGGATGGCTTTTGTAGATCACCCAACCACAATTCCCTGCTTGTAAAAGACAACCTTTAAGCCTTTTTGTTTGTTTTTGTTTTTTTTTAAGACAGGTTCTTGATATGTATCCCAGGCTAGCCTCCAACTTACGATCCTCTAACCCATGATCAGCCTTCTGAGTGCTGGGATTACAGATGTGTGCCAGTGCAGCCTGTACCTCTTAGCCTTTGATAAGGATTAGAAGTATACTTTATTTGTACAGTTAGCCTTCAAGATTCTGCTTAGAAAGCTGCCATTATGCAGAGAATTTTTTTTCCTGCCTACTGCGCACAATGGAAGGAACTGAAAGAATATGATGTGAAAATTGAGGGAAGATCCTTACTTTTTTGGAGATACTAGCCATGACTCATGCTGAGTTTGGATGCATGTAGATTTTTTTGTATAATTATCAAATGGCACAAGTACTTTCTAATAGTGTGCTTGAGAAGATTGTGCAGTCTTAGGTGAAAATGTGAGCTGAGCCTACAGGGACTACTCTGTATTTCACACATCCCTGCTCTGCTTGAAGTAGTTTTACAGCCCGCGAAAGGGGAATATGAGCTAATAGGAAAGTGGTCTCTATTGCAAATATCCCAGTTTTTATCCTGAAAAGTTTCCTTTTCCTGCCTTTCTGTACCTGTTACCTTGAGAGCCCTTTGTGGCCCAAGAATGCACATACATTATGTACACTTTCTAACTCCAGGGCATCCCAATTCCTAGATTTATATCGGAATTACATAGGACATCTATCCAAAACTAATTCCTAGGACTGCTGTCTCAGAAGTAGGACATGAGAAGCTACATTTTTATTTTTTTTTTTTTCATTTTTCTTTTATTATTCATATGTGCATACAAGGCTTGGTTTATTTCTCCCCCCTGCCCCCACCCCCTCCCTTACCACCCACTCCACCCCCTCCCGCTCCCCCCCTCAATACCCAGCAGAAACTATTTTGCCCTTATCTCTAATTTTGTTGTAGAGAGAGTATAAGCAATAATAGGAAGGAACAAGGGGTTTTGCTGGTTGAGATAAGGATAGCTATACAGGGCATTGACTCACATTGATTTCCTGTGCGTGGGTGTTACCTTCTAGGTGAGAAGCTACATTTTAAAAAACAAATACCGAGGTGATTACTATGCATGCCCAATTGAAGAATTCCTTTAACTACTTACCAGGCAGGTACAATGAGAGAAGCAACTCCTAGGAGACATAAGACAGGATTTTATCATCATAGAATTTAACTGCACACAGAAGACACATTGTTAGTCCATGTGAGAACGTTTACTTCTGTTGGTGCTGGAACCTGAAGTCCACAGCACAGGCTGTCAGGACTGGGCATTGGTATGGAGTGGGGTAAGTACAGTGTTGTGCATTGGGGAGGGCAGCAGCATGGAGTGGGGATGGCCATGGTGTAGAGTGGGGAGTGCAGTGGTGTAGAGTCTGGAGAACAGTGGTGTACCATGGGGAGGGTCATGGTGTGAAGTGCCATAGGAGTATGACGGGATATACTATGGAGTAGGGAGGGCCAGGGTGTATAGTGGGGAAAGCTGTGGCGTGGAGTGGGGAGAGTTGTGACGCACAGGGAAAAGGGCAGTGGGTGGGGGAGGGATGTGGAGAAGGCAGTAGAGGGTGGTAATTGTGGAGGGTAATGGTATTGAGTGCAAAACAGGCAAACTGACTATGGTCTTCAGCCTTGGGGACACCTGAGCATGTGTCCCTCCTCCTGATCTTCCTCTTTAAGTAGCATCCTTTTTTTGTGTTGTAAAAACTCAGAGCTAACTCAGAGCTGAGGAGAAGCTGGAGAAGGGTTTGGCACTTGCTAGCAGAGGTCGGAGCCCAACTGGCAAGCTCACTAGGTGAACCAGTAGATAAGGAACACAAATCAGCTGTGACAGGCCATTGTTCCTTGCTCTTGCTTCCTGCCCAACTTCCTTCACTAAGGACATCTGAATCTTTATTCTTAATTCAATGATTCCTCTAAAGTCTAGCTTCATCTGATGTCCACTGGAACTTTATAAGTTATACTCTTTAAAGTCCAGATAAAGTGTTTTTGAGTCCACTGATACTTTCCCCAACTCTAGTAGATTTATGAATTTTCTGTGGAGCGTCTGTGAACTTGATACTTATTGTTTATGTTAAACATTTTGTGCTGCTTCCTGCATTGGGCTGTGAGAGAGGCATTGAGTCTCTCAAAGTCCTTTCCCCCCTCCCCTGGAGTTTCTAGCAGCAGGCCTGAGTTTAAAGCCGGAAGTAGTGTCACTTCTGTAGAAGAGTGGTGGCTGTTTCCATACACAATCTGGACTTTGGGGATGGGGATTGTGGAGGTGCTGAGGCAGGCTCGTCAAGGGCACAAGGCCCTCATCCTGAATTCTATTCACCAGGATCAAGAATTTGAGACATTGTCTTACCTACAGGGTCGCTGTGGGTTTGTTACCATCCTGTTCTCTTTTCTGTCTTACACAGGGGGGGTTCATGGTGAACTCGTGTATTTCAAGGTGATGACTATGTTTGCTACCTCCAAGGAAAGGGGAGGCCTAACCACTGAGCCACTAGCACCCTCACCCAAGCTCAGCACCTGTGCCATCAGAGCATCACATGCATCTGCCGCACTTTTGTATGAGTTCAGCTGCCAGGTGTCTCTCCTTGTCTAAGTGGTTCCTTACAACTAATGAGTCATCTTTGGATACTACTTCTTCTGTAATAGGAACATATTTAAAATACAACATGAAATATACACTGCTGTCCACACAGCTAAATGCTTAGTAAACATAGGTGATCTGAAGTGTGGGCTCCACTTTGCCCTCAAACAGATGGATGGCCTGACCCCTTCTGCCCTGAGATGAGTTGAAGAGTCAGCCGAGATCCTGGAAAGCATGGAGATCCTCACTCTTCACTCAATACCAGGCTCCATGTCACTCTCCCAGAAGCCACCAGATGGCAGTGTGGACTTATCTCTGAGGTCCATTGTTTGCTGCCTGCATTCTTCCATGGCTTAACTGCTGAGGTTCAGTGAGGGGA